CCTGTTTACCAGAATGAGCTGTTGAAACAGAATAAGTTTTGTCAAGAGTAGGATATCATTGTTAGATCAGAACGAGTGATGTTGGAGCATGGGCGATGACTGTCTGAACAGGGATGAGTTTTGTTGGGACGGACCACGTGTGCTGTCGGATTAAGATGTCATTAAAAAAGGGAAGCTACATTTTTTTTTATCGGAACAGCATGAGCAATGTTGGCAGAGCGCGAGTGTTGTTAGAAGCGGGCATTTCCAGGGTCACGAAGCGACGTTTAGTTGTCTCGCTCCGTTTATTACTTACACGCCTTCGCTTGCCCTGAACGCTGCAGAACAAAGATTCTCGGGAGAGACCTCATGTATAGACCTCATGTAACATGAATTCGCTCAGGAATCATTTCGGCCCCGCAATGATTTTGTTGTTGTTGTTGTCGTCAGCGACAGACGTCGATCTTCGGGATTCCCATGATTTGTTGTTGTTGTCGTCAGCGACAGACGTCGATCTTCGGCCGATGAACGAGGCTCAGCTGCTGCAAACACGCCACGGGCGGCGTTGGAAGGGACACGGAGCGCCCCGTTCATCGCCAATGACGCCACGTGGCTGCCTCGGCAGCGAGCGGTGGGCTTGTCGCCTGATGAAAGGGCAACACAATTGCAAGAGGTCGTGGACGGATACTCTCTTGTACATGCGTATACAAGTACACACAGGCAACATTGTTTCGCACCCGGGATACCACATCCAGTATACCTATCTCTCTGGCTCTGGATACCGCTAAATCACGCGCCGACTGCAGCCTCCCAGCGAGATGGCAGACAAAACGATTTCAAGGCATCAACAAAAATCGCATGTTGTTTTATTTTTGTTTTCACAGGTGAAGTAGCTTCGGTAGGGGCAGCGGCGGCGGCTTTTTTATTGCGTGAGTTACGACCCAGAGCTGGCAGACAAATGTTGACGCAGAGTCCCAGTGCCCGCACGTGTCGGCTCCCGAGTGCAGACGATATTTTCTTGACCTCTTGGCTGAGACGCCCCCTGTGTTTCCGAATCCCAACAAAAGCTCCGAGCAAAGCCCCGTGCGGAAACAACCGCACAGCCGTGCGATCTGCGATTTAGTTGCTGTTTTGGAATGGTCGTGAGACACGGCGGAATGACGACTGTGCGGCCAAACCACCCCTACGCTTGACATGCAAAGCTGTCAACCCACACGGTTTAGCCCGTATTCGTGTACAGGGAAATTGAGTTTTCAGGTCCATACGGCGTAAAACCGTTTCAATACGGGCAACATTTATTTTTGTCTCTTTGTTTGTGGTTGTCCCACGTGATGGGACTTTGTAGGACGAACGTTAAGATGTATAAGGGGCACGGGATGACCATTAAGGTCCTAATTGGTCTGTTATAAGGTAGGGCACTTATAAGGGGTTGACAGGTATGGACATGGCGCACTGAGGCCTTCATCCAGCTGTGGATGGACAATGGATGATGATGACCTCACTGGTCTTACTTCTGACCCAAGTTTGTCTTTGGGGGAAAAAAATAACCCATGTTAGTTGATTTGGGCTCTCGCCTAGGTTTAATGAATAATTAACCCAATAACACTGTGTAACCATTTTTTGTCCCTGGGTAGTAAGTGGTATTTCCTAAATGCTTATGCCTCAAAAGTACACAAAATGGCTATTATTCCCCACAAACTTTGCTTTTGTGACCAGGATAGTGATATTATGAAATGTACATATTTTCAATGAGAAAACGTGGTGTGCATTTGTGTCTTTCGTTCACCCAAAGTCCTCGTCACAGAAGCAAAGTTTGTGGGGAATAATAGCCATTTTCTATACTTTTTAGGCATAAGAAATGAAATAATAACGCTTAGTAGCCAGGGACAAAAATTGTGTTACACAGTGAATTAATCATTGCACTTCGCGTTGCGTCTAGACTTGTGTCAATTACAATACGTGTGGTGTCACTGCAACACGTGGTGTAATCTACAGCCCTTTGTCGTCAAATGAGGGCCTCTGTATCTCAAGTCAGTCATCGGGGTTGTTTGACCAAACCTCACCACACTGGCCACTGTGGTTTGCGAATGTGGGTCGGATTGGTTGAGGTGTCGCACGCCACTGATGTGAGCCATGACTGGGAATCGACTTTAAGGTTTTTTTTTATATAAAGACGAGCGGTAACCACTACGCTACAATGCGTTACGCTTCCACATGCGCGGGTCACGTGACAGATCTGACGTCACAGCTCACTTGCCGTGCAAAAAATATATGTATTATTGAGCTCCCCCCTCCCCCCCCCAAAAAACCCCAAAAGTGTATTTTTATAATTTTTGCATGGTGTACCGTCTGGAAAGTTCCCACATGGCAAATTTCCAGTTTGTTGCATGTCGTGAAGTACGCTAAACATTTTGAACAGACACACATAATCACATGGAGATATATATAGCTCCACAATTGCCACCATATTTCAAAGCAGAACTGGGCCTACATATTAACTCTAAGCACCTGCGCTAATCTATAACTGAACGTAACAACCCGAAAACCCCGTGACCTGAATTTGAAGTCTAATCGACTCACTGCAATCCCCATCCTGGCCACCTCCAACACTAACAGGGAAAGAAGTCCTTTGGCTGGGTGTTGCGCATGTTGTTCTGAACGCATGGAACATTCGGATGCGTGGGCCCAATAATTGCTGGTGCAGTAATACGATAAAATGTAGCTGTGATGGAGAGATGAGAACTGCCTGCCAACAAAGCAGATCCTCTCCGGTTTAACTCAAGAAGTGTGAACGTTTCCATCAAGTAATAGTGATTTTTTTTTATCAACAATTAGCGGAAGTTTAAATGTATAACCAGGAATATTGTTTCATCTGTTCAAATATCAATTGCGATTTTATGTATATTGTTCTGTACATTGTTAAAAAATACTTTTAATTATTACAACTAGCTAATATTGGCAAGTCAGTCCTAATATATGCAGGACAATGCATATATTATCAGAGTATGTTTTTGTCTGCATTCTGACTAAAAGCATTGTGGTTAATGCAGAGATGATTCCTTGTAAAAGGTTTCAGTTTGGTGTTTTAAGATCTTAACAGCTGTTTTGTTGCCAGAAAAAAGGGGGAAATCTATTATCAGCTTCAAACTTGTGACTGGCAACCCGGGAGACACAGCTTGGGTGTGTAGCTCCAAGATCAGAGTGATTTGTGCTGTATATTTAATCCGCAAGCATGCGCATGAACTTAGTTAAGCATTGTGGATATGACCAATGGAAGATTGTTACATTTATAAAGATTGTTAAACGTGGGGGGGGGGGCGGGGGGGTAAAAACTCGAAATTATTCTAAGGCCTATCATTGTCTGCCTTAACGTGGCCGATTAATGCGATTCTGCTCTCAGAAGCGTCATCGTATGCATCTTTACCATTGTCAAGCCAACACACGCCTTGGATTTAAAATTTCATACATTACGTTTCAATAAAGAATATGAAAAAAACAACTTATTTAAACCAAAATCGTTATGTTCATGAGTAACTCTTCCATTTTCCACAACGTACTTGTTGCCTCGACTAGCTTCAGTGAATGTAGAGAATCATATTTTCATTTTACAGTTGCCTACTTATCATGACTGTCGATAGAGTAAGACGCCATTGATCACGTGTGGCTTATTTCAACGTCAAACCTCTTGGTTGCGTCCTCAACGCATTCATCCATATTCGTGTTTAATTAATCCTGTTCGAGTACAGGATACCTTTTTTGGAAGGACATACGCTTTCGTATCTGTCCTGCATACTTTCTAAATGACGTGTTTATTTTATTCTCATAAACGACATTAATTTTCAATGAAAGAGCTACAATGAGTACAACTTGAATCATCACAGTCAGGACCACGGACAGCGCCCAGTGAAGCTTGCATAACAAAGTTCCCCGTATAACCTTTAACAGACTATAGGGGCAAGTGCTGTTAGCGAGCACATATGACGGCAGGAATGGCACACGAGGGGGTGGGTGGCCAGAACAACGCACAACCGCCTTTGTCTCCCCAGTGTTGAGGTTTATACAACGCACCAGATACTCATTGGAGGCTGAGTCAACCTAGGTGGATCCAATGTCGGTTCAGATAAGTAATCGTCACTGATGTAGGCCGTGAGAAACGACCTCTGGTCTCTTACGTTCGTAGAGCAGTGCGCTAACCACTCTGCCACCGCTCCACGCAGCAGAGACGCACACAGCTACGACTGCTATTCAATCCAGTTGAGACTCCGGTAATATTTTACAGAGGAGTTTAACGTAGTAATCGGCTTGGGCCGAATGCATTTGGTTCTTTTAAAGACGAGGCTTGTGCGTGGCAGTCAGGGCTTTAGTCTTGAAGAGCGAGCCGCAGATAGTTCACACAGCCGCTGGTGTCAAAGGTTCCCGGCCACGGGCTGCCTCCGTTAATCGCACATCTCATTGTAAATGATTGTCCGCCAATGTGCTCACCAATATTTAATTTCCCGCTGCCACGTAACTCCAGCGTCGTAAAACAAGAAGAGCGACGGCCCAAAATGGGGGATAAATCGAGCCCGTGGCGCATGATGTGTGTACGTGACCGGTGTCATCTTTTAAGAGCCGTAAAGGTGGTAGTAACGTGGTGGAATATTAAAAGGAGATTACAGATCAGAGCCCGCCCCGGCGTTTACGGACGGCGCGTGCCAGAACGTCGGACACGTGCCGCGTTGTTCACCCCCGTGACCTTTAGCGCTACCGAGTCAGCGGAGTTGGTGAAGGCGGCGGCGGCGACAGGAGAGAAACGAGAGGCCACCAAAGCCCTCGTGAAGTCGGGTAGGAGCGGGCATGTGGGTGGAGGAAGACAGAAACGAATTGATAACCCCCTCCCCCCCTCGCCTTATGTTTAACTCAACCATTATACTTTTGCTAGGGGGGTTGAACTCGTGGCGCTGGCAGGGATGGTGGGGGGTATGAACAAGGTGGGATACAAAGGTTGATTCTACCAAAATCTAATAAATAGCCCGTGATTGGAAACCTGCCCTGTCGTTGCACACGATGGCGAGAGCAGAAGGCTGTGGCGGCCCCCTGGGACTCCGGGCCTCTCTGTGCGTCCTCCTGCTGCTGTGCGCGGCCCTGGCTCAAGGGACCACCTCGGCAGAGAAGAGTCGGCAGAGGAGAGACATCTCCAGCGACCAGTGAGGGCACCAGCTGATGGGACCACGAGGGGGGTGGAGGGGAGATGAACGTGCTCAGTGCTTGCGCTATCGCTGCTACAGCTACTGCTGCTGCGTCGCCTGGAGTCTTTCTCTCTCTCTCTCTGTGGCCCTCTGTGCTGCTGAGACTCTCCCTCTCTTCACGTCCAGCCTCTCAATTATTCTTTCCTCTTCATTTCTGCATACGACTCTCTCTCTCTCTCTCTGTCGACGAAATGTCTTCATACGCACTTGTACGCATGTTGAACTTATTTCGCGCCGTACGTTGCAGATGTTGCTATCTCCACTGTCGTATTTCCAATCATAAAGCAACACTTCCTTGAGAACTATGCGCAAATCGTCTTGAGATGCAGGCGCATTTTGAACGCCTATGAATCTAAATTGTATTCGATAGTGCTGTGATGTATAAACTGTGAACATTCGTGTGTCCTGTGCAATACATTAGCCGTGACATGATTCACCCCCGACACAGCGGACTCGACGAATTTTAATATTTATTTTGATATTATTAGACTATTTTGACATTATTAGATTATTTTGACATTGTTTGATTATTTTGACATTATTAGATTCAGGATATTATTGTATCGATGAGCCGATTGCTTTGTTTGCTCTGTTTGATCATACTGCTTCCGTTGTCCAATTTGTTTGATTATCCTCAGTGAACATTAGCATGTCATTAATAATTTACATAACTTGAAAATAAGAGATTCGTGACTACTCAATTATTTGCATGTACCGTGATAGTGTAAGTGGAAATAGCTGATAAGAAGGCTTCATTTGCTTCTTCACTAAGTCAGAGCAATTGACTCCGAATCGAACAAATGTGAGTTTCCTTTCTGATATCGATAAAACAGTCACTGCATTGTGGGAATTCAGCAGTCATCGTTGTCCTCCGCCATGGGAATGTGGAATTCTCATATTCTACGTGACTTTCGGTAAAGTCACGTAGATAGAATTCTCCTCACTGGCTCAGAGTGGCAGATGCAGGTGAACGCCTCCTGACGTCTCATTTGAGCAGGGAGACAGTCAGTATCTTCGCGGTGCTTTGTTTTATGTCTACATTCTAGAGTTCCTTTTACACATTTCGTGATTTGTGGGGTTGTATATTATTGTATTATCGACTTCTGGTGGATCAAGGAGAGCCCTATCATGATTTATCAAGGATATCCAGGAGCAGTGCCTGGTGAAAATAATTGGGTTAAACATTCTGGTCGGCAGAATAAACAAAAAAACGTTTGCAAACTAAAACAAATCAAATGTTATTCGCAATACCGTTGTCGGCGCGGATAAGAACAACAGGTCATAGCTAGACTGGAACGGGTTAAAAGGTCAATGTCAGGATCAGCTGATAGCCCCAGTGGCAACAGATGCATTGTACACGGTATTTAAACAAACATCAACTACGACAATGATGATTACAGGAGTCACAGTGATGGTTAAAGCAGTGAAAATGGCGATGACAGTGGAAATAACGATAGCAGTGATAACTGCAGTGATGGAGGTTGTAATGCTGGCAATGATGTCCGCTGTTGATGGTGGAAATGAAAATTGTGAATTGGAGGATGAAGCTTGGATAATCGTCATCATTATGGAGGTGATATTGATGATGATGATGATTGTAATTATAACAGTGGCAATGATGGCAGTAATCACATTGATGATGGTGCTGATCGTGGATATAGTTACGACATAATATTGATGGTGGCAATCAACATGGTGGTGGTGATGAAATTGATGATTACGTTAGTGATGGTAGTGGTAATACCATTGATGATGGTTGTGATGCTCGTGATGATCATGATAATTTTGATGATATTAGTGTAAATGGCAATGATCATGATGATGATGATATTAGGAATGGTGATGCCAGAAATTAACATGAATACCAGTGGCAGTGGTTTAAATTATGTCCGTGTGAATGAAAATAGTGGTCTTGAAGGTGATGATTGTGATAATGCAGATACTAGTGGTACATGTGATGATAAAGATGCTGGTGATGCAGCTTCTGTTGCTACTGCTGATGATGACGATGATTCAAATGATGGTGCAGATGACGCAATGCTGATCCGGCTGATGCTGATGAAACCTGCCGATTATACCGCTTCTGACGGTGTTGTAGGATGATGCCAGTGATGATGATGATGCTGACGATGATGAACGTGCAATGCGTAGGCCTCGCGTTTCGACGGAGAGTGGGCAGCTCGTGTTCCACACGGGCAATGGCAAAGCCATCGAGTTCCGCACGGGGACCGGAGGAGAAGTGCGGATCGGGGATATCAGCCTCTCCGAGTCTCTGGCTCAGGTGACGACGCGACTTGGGTCAAGGGCTGGGCTCAGCGGTGGGGGTGGGGAAGGGAGCAGGGTTTTTTGCGGGCCCTTGCCCTCAGCCGCTTGTCAATACACTGCTGAATGAGGGCCTAACGACATAGTGTCGGCGGTTGTTTGCACGTATGCGGAACTTCTTTCGCGCCGTACGTAGCCAACCGTGCTAATTGGAGGTGCGGGGGAAGGACCATTACGTTGGTCAGTGCAGGTTGGTGAAAGTAGGGGTGCAGATGCCACAGAGCATAGAAGTACGGTACACCAATTTATGCTTCTGCACTGCCCACTGTCGCCGGCCACGTGTACCCGCAGCCCCCATGGCAACCTGATCGTGCATGGTGGTTGCCCAGCCGAGTACCATGCAGGTTGATCCCCCGCGTGGCTTCTGAGATTTTACAAATCCCGTATGCTGAAGGGGTCACTTGCAACGCAAACCAGTGAGGTTTCATCAGCCGCGCGCCGTGTGGGCGTAATGCGGAGCGACTCAGGGAAGCCGGTAGACCTCGCGAAGCCATGGGGAAATAATGAGCTTCATGCTCAACGAGCTCTTTTGTCATGCCACTCGCCATCGATATTATAGAATCCGCGCGTTACGCAGATCGGAGCTGCTCCTGATTGAATTGAGATTCAAACCACGGTGGTGGGACAGCTGCCTTAAACCCACGTGGCATCCCGTAATCATATCTGCATTGACAATTGTGTTACAAATAAATGTATGTGTGTACAATGTTGGCACATAGAATATATACTGTACACCTATAATGTTTATAGAGTAAATAAACGTACGAGCATCTGTTCCACCGTGTATAAAATAAAATACAAATTTAGTCTATCGGCCTTAAGGACCCTATAGCTTTTGAGCTCAATATTTTCAGATATTTCATCATGGGCGGGTTTTGACTTTCGGAGTCTCATCCGCAGATGGTGAGCATGTTAAACACTTTATTTCAGGCTCGCCAGATGTTTTAGATGAAAGCTCACGACGAACATCGCGGGGACCCCGCATGCCCTCCTTACTTCCCGCAGTGTTCTCGATCCTCTCAATCCCCCGTCTCGCTGACCATGCAAACTACATGCAGCAAGAGAGAAGGAGATCTCGATGGAATGTTTACTTTAAAGCAGCCGCAATAGGACACACTAAACGAAACTAAAACCTTTATTTTTTTTTACCAGGTAATAACACCCACTGAGTTATATAGCTTTTTTCCCAGAAGCGACCTGGCCACAAATGATAGCTCAACGAAGTGGCTATTCACGTGGCCATTTAGAGCAGCCATATACTCTAAAAGCACCTCGATTCTCAATGTGGAGGGAAAAACCGGAGGACCCGGAGAAAAATCCACGCGACCACGCAAACTCCAAATATACAGCAAGCGCCCAGGGTTGGGATTGAACGCACGACCTCCTGTATATAGGCGAGGCAGTCAACATCTCACCACCGTGGCGCCTTCAATGACGCATCTCCCCACTCCTCGTCGCCCGTTCTGGCAGGTGCGGACCAACCAGAAAGACATCGTCGACCTGAAGGCCGGAGCGACGGGCGTTAATGTGACGGCAGCGATCCACCAGCTGGATGTCAAGGTGAGTGAGAGAGAGAGGTAGCCACGCGCCCACACGTGACCACCGACGGAGCACGTGGCACACACGTCAATCATTGACAGGGATCACGTTGCCCCGGTGTATTCAGTTACATCCGACTCGGGCGACGGAGTGCTCACGACGCTTGAATTTATATTCGAGTTCACATCTTAATCTCGATTTGGGGGTCAACTTAGACGTTCGTCCCTGATGAATTGGTAAAAAAATGAAAGTCAACAGTGATTACCTCATGGATAGATTCATACACACCAGAGGAGTGTGGAATTTCCTTCACTGGCTCAGAGCTGTAAATAGGAGCACCACACAATCTGTGCGTATACGATTTATATTTTCGAATGTATTTGGTTACGTTTAAAAAAATTTGAATGTTATGAGTTGTAATCATCTTTATTTTTCAATACAATAATACCAAATTCACGATGGGATTGATCCTCAATTATTGTGACACGTATAACGTTAGCAGAATTGAAAAATACGTGTTCATCTGATAGCAGGAAATATTAAAGTACCGTAGTTAAACAATAATACATTGATAATCAGTTTTCTTTGGGTGAGATCGTGTATATATACAAAAGTGTCGTTAAACCCGCCACGACACCAATTAGTAAGGCTCGTCACGTAAACAGAACATTTGCAGTCTGAGTACCAGATTGTACTCTGATTGTAAATGTTGTGGCTTTGCTCTCCAACACACCGGTGTGCTGTGCTAGTATTCAATTGGCACGTATCTTTTTGTGTGACAAACCTTACTAATTGGCTGTGTCGAGTGGTGACGGGTTTAACGACAGATTTATATATTTACGCGATCTAACCCAAAACACTTGTTTTATGGATGATATTGGTCGCGAAATCCTACGTGTTAAATAATACATTTGACCGAATACATATTTGCCCATTGATCTAACCAAACGCATTCATATCAAGGTGAACACAGCTGAAATATAACACAGAGAAGGCATACAAATAACACAACAGAATCAGAATCTTCATTTATCCTGGAAAAATCCGATGAGCTATGAAGTTCTTATTCATAGATGTTCAATAGGGGCCGGTCAGAAAATTACAACAAACATTACAAAAAACCCTATGAGTGCAAAATACAGGAAAAGTAATCAAATCACGATGCACGAATACATAAACATACATTATTTTATAAGTTCCCATTGCATAAGTACATCAATTCATGTAGATTTTTCAACACTAAATGCAAGCTTGGGCAAGGCAGCAAATCAACAACAACAAAAACAGTCGCAGATCACACCAAGACAACACGCGTTCAAATTTAACTATTAATTACAAATCACATTGGCAAATGTGGTCGTATCCAGTAGCAACCTTCTCCTCTCTGTCTTTAACCCACAGATACAAACCCTGGATGGCAAGGTGACCACGATTGAGCAGGTGAGAGTTCAGTCCCTCGCTCGTCGGAGACCTGGCACGCGGCTGATCTACTCTGGCTGCCGATTGCAGAATGGTGTTAGAGATTAACTGATGCTACTCTGCTTCATGAGCCCAGACCAAGTATTTCACTTCGCCAGTACCGCAATAGGTGGCCTAGGTGTGGCCATTAACGGTGAATTATTACGTGTTAACCGTTTGAATCTATTTGGGGTCATCAAGCGATTCGCTCATATTAGCCGCACAAACGAATCCTCCATGACGATTGCCCAATATCCGCTCTGGCCAATGGGCTAGTCGCCCGTGGCACGAGTCCCTCACCCTGTGCTGTGCCCCACTCAACCCCGCAGGACATGGGCCTCACGGCGTGCGCCTCCAGCCCCTGCTTGAACGGGGCGCACTGCGTCAACCTGTACAAGTCCTTCTACTGCGTGTGCCCCAGCAACTGGAAGGTGGGATCGTGGAGTGCTCGCTTGGCTATCGAGCGCACGCGATATCGCGATACTGTGTGATTTAGGAGTAACAGTGATGATGGACTTTTTAGTCAATCCACACTCTCTTTCAGAAAGGTCATGCATTGCGACTGTTTGGGTTTCGTTTTGTTTAAAGAGTGGCTTCCTGCTAGATTCAAAATGAGAGTATGTGGAAAAACCCCACCATGCGTACGAGAGGATTACACTCAAAGGTCCGCACATTTGGGTTCATGAACCCTTTTTGCTGCAGTGCCATCTGCTGGTCACCTGACAGCCCAGCGAATTTTAGTTTTTATGAGAGCCACAATCCGTTTAATGAGAGCCACAATCCGTTGCGCCAAACGTGCCATGTTACACGCGTGAATGTGATTGTGTAATGGCTGGTGGAACTTGGTTACGGTGCTTTACTTATAATTAAACAAGTTCAAATGCGAGTCACGAGTCGACACTGCCTCGGGTCTATACAATTAATATCAATTGGTGCAATATCAACAGTGGTTGTTTTCTAGATACAGTCTACTGGGCCCTGCCATATTAATGTGGAATTACCACAATTGGCTTATGGCCACCAATCGGGATGAGAAATAACCCATTGCTCAATTGAGTTGAGAGAGAGACTCTATAATGGTGTGTATCATATACGTAAGTTGCACAGAGAGCGTGGAGACGATGTAATTAATTATTAATAATACAAACAGGAACTACGCTACACTTTAATTGTAATTATTAACATCGCTGTAAGTGGTGGCTCAGTCGCACATTTCTTCCATTTTCAAGGGAAACTTGTTATTAAAAATGAAGAAGATATTTTTTCAAAAACGACAAAAACGCTAATAATGATGGCGATGCTTCTGGCTCTGCCCCGAACCATGCTGTCATGTTCACATTCCAGCCAGAGAGCTTCTCGCGAACGACTGACAGCACTTCCTGCGATGCGTTTCTGCGGCCGTCTGGAATGCTCTTCCTTCCGATATTAGAGAAGCCACTGGAGCTACGCACTTTTAAATCCAGATAGAAAATATATCTCTTCAGAACCGATTTTCGTGTCTAGTTTGTTGTCCTTTCCCCGCACCTCCGATTAGCAAGGTTGGCTACGTACGGTGCGAAAGAAGTTCAACATACATCGAATACATGCCTACATACGATGGTATAAGCAGGCTGTGAAGGCGCTTACCAATTGCGTTCTCGCCGCAGGGCACGCGGTGCAATGAGGACGTGAACGAGTGTCAGATCTACGCCGGCACGCCCATGGGGTGTCAGAACGGAGGCACCTGTCACAACACCCCCGGGACCTACAGGTGATGTCTCACGCCACTCGATTATAATCCGTGCCTCGCAGCCTCTCCAGGGCTCGTATCTCCTCCAAACCGAGGCAGACGAATGTATGGCAGTGCAGAGAGATTCGTGGTACGATTGGAGTGCAATCGGGGTGATGCCGTTTGTTGCAGACGTTCGCGGGTTCGAATACGGCAGGCCGCCCTGGTTAATACTGCGGGTGTGCTCACCACAAATACTCTTGATTGAAGATGTTAGACATCTTCATTGCGCAACGGCGTGGTGGTCCAAATTTATCAGGTTTCAAAATGCAACCGAAAATGAATGGATTTGGATTAAGCGTAAAAATCTTCCCCAAACTACTGGCAGACTAATGTCAGTGCTGAGTTACCTTGTGTCACACAGGGATCAGCTGCCACTGGGAGTGCCCTTTGAATGTTTGATATGTGATGTCATTATGAGTTGCTTAAGCACATAAGCCAACGCCATGCTGAAAACTACTGGACATCTGTCAAAAAGAGAGCTTCATCGCTGATCGGATTCCTCCAGTAAAAACAAATATGCCGATTCTGAAAAAATATATATTTCTATTCAGATTAAGAATAACCCCTGCCACGAGTCGAGAGGTAACACCCCCATTACCCATTGTCTGCTCTAAAGCCCCATCACTGCTTCGTGGTGTGCGTTCAAACCTAAACCTGCTCTACACTCACCCCACCCCCCCTTGCTCTACACTCACCTCACCTGGAACCCTCACCGCAGCTGTTCCTGCACGCCCGAGTTCACGGGTCCTCACTGCGTCACCAAGTTCGACGACTGCCAGGCCGGCTCGCAGGCGCTGTGTGTGCACGGCGTGTGTGTGGATGGCGTCAGGATCAACCCCAACGAGGTAGCCACACGGACACACACAACAACAACCGCCATTCGCCACTAAGTGGCGGTGACGTCACCACGACGCTTGTGCCACACGGACACACACGCACAGACTCACACACGCACAGACTCACACACACAGACTCACACACGCACAGACTCACACACACAGACTCACACAAAGATCAAAGATCCCCCGTATAGCCTGAACAGACTGTAGGGGCAAGTGCTGTTAGCGAGCACCTATGAAGGCCGGAACGGTACACGAGGGGGTTGGTGGCCAGCACCACGCCCGACCGCCTTTGTCTCCCTAGTGGCGATGTTTACACACCGCACCAGGTACTCATTTAAGGCTGAGTCGACCTAGGGGAGGCCCAGGACCGGTTCAGATAATCGTCACTGGTGTTAGCCGTGAGCGGGAATCGAACCCGGGTCGCCAGGTTCATAGCGCAGCGCGCTAACCGCTACACTACCGCTCCCCTCAGACTCACACACACACAGACTCACACACAGACAGACTCACACACAGACACACAGACTCACACACGCACAGATCACACACACACAGACTCACACACACACAGACACACACACACACAGACTCAGACTCACACACACAGACTCACACACACAGACTCACACACGCACACAGACAAAGATCCCCCCGTGTAGCCTTAACAGGCTGTAGGGGCAAGTGCTGTTAGCGAGCGCCTATAAAAGCCGGCACAGCACACGAGGGGGTTGGTGGCCGACACCACGCCCGGCCGCATTTGTCTCCCCAGTGGCGATGTTTACACACCGCACCGGTTACTCATTTTGAGGCTGAGTCGACCTAGGGTAGGCCCAGGTACCGCTTCAAATATTCGTCACTGGCGTCGGGGAACCCAACTCGGGTCGCCAGGTCCCCCGCGCAGCTCGCTGACCGTACACAGACAAAGATCCCCCGTCTAGCCTTACCAGACTGTTTGGGGCAAGTGCTGTGAGCGGCAAGGTCGAACTTGCCCCCCCGCCCCCCAAACCGCTCCGGCTCTGTTCACGCGCCTCTTACCCCCCCCCTCCCCACGTCCCCCACCAACCCCTGGCGACCCCCCCCCCCAGCCCCGATTCGAGTGCATCTGCGAGGGCGGCTACACGCAGCCCGGCGCGGGGGGGAGTCCCGCGTGCAGCGCCGACCTGGACGAGTGCGCGCAGCCCATCCCGCCCTGCTCCGCCAACCCTCCCGTCAGCTGCTTCAACACCGTGGGCTCCTACTACTGCGGCGCCTGCCCCAGCGGTGTGCGACAAAACCTGGCGCGCACGCACACCAACAACAACAACAACACACCAGCAACAACAACACAACAACAACAGCCGCCGTTCGCCCACTAAGTGGCAGTGACGTCGCCTCGGGGCTTGTGCCAGGCTAGGTGCACGTTGAGGTCCTGACACACACACAAATAAAGATCCCCCCGTGTAGCCTTAACAGACTGTAGGGGCAAGTGCTGTTAGCGAGCACCTATGAAGGCCGGAACGGCACACGAGGGGGTGGGTGGCCAACACCACGCTCGACCGCCTTTGTCTCCCCAGTGGCGATGTTTACACACCACACCAGGTAATAATTTGAGGCTGAGTAGACCTAGGGGAGGCCCAGGACCGGTTCAGATAATCGTTACTGGTGTTGGCCGTGATCGAGAATCGAACCCGGGTCGCTAGGTTCGTAGAGCAGCGTAGCGCTACCCTACCACCCCCACAGTACCTTGTAGGACAATACAATGCGTTACAGTATTGAACTATGATGATGATAGACACATCTAAGTAGGTTACTACTTAATGGTTGCAAATGAAGTGCTTAATTCATTAATTTGCAAGGGGAAAGTTACAATTATAGCAACATCAATCATCAACACCGCACAGCGTTCTTAAACATTTCGGCCTGCACCTCTCCCGGATATTTATATTGTGATGAGATGGAGTCATTCACACAGCACTTTATATATGTTTTACTCAGTAAAAACATAGATATTTTGACTTTCATACAAAAGTACATCCCGACACATCCCAATAGGTTACACAAAACAGTAATTTATCAATTCACTGCAGCAGGCCCAGTGACACAGTGAGCCCCTTCTCGTGTTGATGAGAGGCAAGGAACATTTGTTCTCATTTTATTCCGAGATATTTACTTCGCACTGAAGCTAAACTAAGCGTTTTGTTTATTTTACCAGTTAAGGCCCACTGAGCAATAGAAATCTTTTTCAGAAGCAAGCTGGCCACAAATGACAGCTCAACGTAGAAATTAGTAGCATCCAAAGACTCCAGGGGAAAAACCGGAGAACCCGCGGAAAAATCCACGCGACCACGGGGAGAACATGCAAACTGCAAATATACAGCAGCAGGCGTCAGGGTTGAGATCAAACCCACGGCCTCCTGTACACCAGGCGAGGTAGTTAACATCTCACCACCGCGGCAGTGAGCGCGCTGCTGCTCTGAGATCCTTCCCAACGGGAGTCTCCATCTCACCACGTGACGCCCACGGCACGATTGGAATAAAAATGGAAACAAGATAAAAAAAAGTCGTTAGGGTGCCATCGTTATCATGTGTGTTGATTTGTTTGAAACGTGACGGTCATTTGCCTCGTGGTGCGAGGATGCAGGCTGGCAGGGAAACGGCTACAGCTGCACGGATGTGAATGAGTGCGCGATGGGAAACGGTGGGTGCTCCACTGTGCCGCCCGTGCAGTGTCTCAACACCATGGGCTCGTACCACTGTGGGCCCTGCCCCTCCGGTAGGTACACACCACAGCGGCAACACACACACACACACAATCCCCATAGAGTGTCGCGCGAACGCCCGGCGAAAAGTGCCATCGCCGACTATTGTACGTACTCAGGGTGGCATAATACGCAATAATTTGTGTGGCCGCAAACCGGACCCGGCAGCCTTTGTGTCCTAAGTGTGCCTATTTGCACACCTTGCCGAATTTTCATTGAAGGTTGAGCCAACTTAGAGGAGGTGCAACTGGTGTTAGCCGTGGCGAGGAATTCAAACCGAGTTGCCGAAAACCACTGCTCGCGCACACAAAGCCACTTCGCGTTAATCGATACTTAATTACGACGATTTAAACGGTAGCAACGGGAGCGCAAGACAGCTGGGGGCAGCGTTTCTCGGGGTCCTTGCGGCACGACGCGACGGAGCGGCCGCGTGTGTGTGTGTGCGCGCGCGCGTGTGTGTGAGTGTGTGCGCGCGTGTGTGCGTGTGTGCGCGTGTGTGTGTGCGCGCGTGTGTGCGTGTGTGCGCGTGTGTGTGTGCGCGTGTGCGTGTGCGCGCGTGTGTGTGCGTGTGTGCGCGTGTGTGTGCGTGTGTGCGCGCGTCTGTGTGTGCGCGCGTGTGTGTGCGCGCTCGCGCGGGGGCGCAGGCTACGAGGGCGACGGGAGGACGTGCACGGCCGTGGAGGTGTGCTCCATCAACAACGGCGGCTGCCACTCGCTCGCCACCTGCACCGCCGTGCCAGGTGAGCCGCTCTCGCCGGCGCGAGGCGACGGAGAGGAGACACGCGGTCTTCTGAGTTCATCTCGCGCGTTCATCGTTTCTCCCGCCGAGTTGTCTCGCCGCACGCGACTCGCCGGCGTCTGAAGATGGCCCGCACACTTAGAATTACAAGCGGCCGCGGGGGAACCTAGAGTCTGAAGCGGTCGCAAGCGTGCGCTGGCACTGAAATTAAGCCAAGAAGCGCACGTGATTAAGCTGCAAAGGCCATTTAAAAAATAACGGAGGATTTAGAAGTGCACTTTGAGCCGCGTGCGATGGGTTGCGCCTGTGGTCTGGCGCCTTCCGTGGCAGCGATTGGTGGATCATCGCGCCCACCGGAGTGTGATTGATTGTCGTTAAACAGGATCGCGTTTTTTTTTCGATTTCGTTCCGGAATCGATCGGCCGCGTACGACTAAACAACGCATTGATTCTTCCGCGTGCAATTTGACGCAGTTCTCGCGCGCCTAAAGAGTCGACGCCAATCGAGGGATCGATGCCCGATTCATTCCGGCGACAGAGTGCGAGCACTCGAGCGGATCGCTTTACTTTCAATCAAACACCAAAAGTCCGGCGATTAACAAAAAGCGGCTCTCATTAAAGCGCTTTCGAGTGGCACGCATGCGCTTAAGAGCACATTATCTGTTCCTCGGACGTACCGATACGCGAATTTGGATCTCGTCAGGAACAGCCGGTCACCGCTGCCAGGTCAGTGTGACTCTCAGTCAGCAGAGTGTCGCTTGAGTCAGCGGCGCATCAATAGGTAGCCGCGTGTGTGTAAATCAGCTTGAACAAAAACACCGCCGACGACGAAAAAAGATTGCTCACTTATGCAACCAAGAGCCCAGCGGAGACGTTACTTGCGATCTTGTCTCCATTTCTCATGAGCAGGTTGATGGCAGAATCGTAGACACCCTGTCGGGCGTTGGGAGGGGGTGGTGGGGGGGGGTGCAGGAGTTTTCATCAAAATGGCTTTGCATTTTACGACCCCCCAAAATGTTTGTTCGCTGGTGATGAGCTTCGCCGTGGGAGATGATTTACCACAATAGGGTTACTCATGAATCCGTCTGATGTCAGCTATTGCTGCGGACTTTGAAAAAATCCTGAATAGATGATGAGCGGGTAACTGGAAAAAAAAACTGAGCCGTGCATTTTTAAAAGCAGCCAATCCACCGACTGATTTGACAATCGCACAAATGAAGAAGACATGTAAGGATTTAAATATAAATTGGTATTCCTTCACGTTGCAAAAGTAGCAGCACATTACATGTGTGCCATTTGCTTAATGAGAGCACAGTCTGTGTGAAATGTACAAATATATCACCTGGAAACTGAAATTGGATCCCTGCAGTCACGAAAACTTCAAATCTAGATTGAAATTGGTCTCGCACCGAATTTGAAAAAAAATGGCTCTTGTCAAGTTTGTTGCTGACCCCTGGTCTAGCAAATGGAATGTGTCTCGTGTTCCCACTCAGTGGCTGGCATGAGTCAACTTTTGGCTAAAAACTTGGGTCACCTGGGCCTATGCCCAAGTGTCGCACGCTCTCGGGCGAATACAGAACATCGCATGTCTGCCCTGGTGAGCGTGCCGCAGGGAGGGAAATGCTCGTAGACCATTCGCTGTGTTCAAATTAAGCCCAGAATGCATTGCAAAGGCAAAGACGTCTCATGTAGCCCCATCGAACGTTGGGGCAAGTGCTGCGAGCGAGAAGCTTGTCAAGGCTTGCACGGCCTACGAGGTGCTGATGTGGTCAGCAGTAACCCCGGCTGCCTTTGTCTCTCTCGTCAGCGATTACCAAGGCCGAGTCAGCCTCGGTGGGGGGAGCCCACTATCGGTTCAGTTATCACGTGGGATGTCCCTCGCCACCGATGTTAGCCACGGCCGAGAATTGAAGTCAGGTCACCAGGTTTATAGCCCAATGTGCTCGGTAAGAATAATCATACTTTCATTGTATATAGTGTCGTTCATGCTACGAGCCCGGTGCGTTACAAAACGCACACAAAGACGGACACTCGGACGACACACAAACACAGATATACAAATACGCACACACACACGGACACACAGACACGGACACACACACACGAACACACAGACACGGACGCACAGAAACGGACACACACAGACCCACAAACACAGGCCCCTTGGATACGGGCCATCTGAGCGCTTTCAAAACATTCTCAGGCGCCCGCACAGAACGCGACATTATTGACGGGAGCGACGCGATCTTGGCTAATGCCGACGACAACAACGCGATCAGCGCTCACTGACACGCACGCACCACCCCGGTGAAGACCGTGCCATGGAATTCCAAATGAGAACGGGTAAAAAGGGTTTAACGTGCCCTTTTTTCCATTCGTAACGTTCATTTTGGTGCTTGGTCATTTGCATGGCGCTTGCACGGGGAGAAGAATGTTGGATTCCACGTTGGTTAAAGATTTGCAAAGCATCGGACACTTTGAGCCAGTGTAACGCTTGTGCCGAGGGGTTCCGATGTTTTGTTTATTGTGACTCAGCATAATACGGGGGGACGGGGGGTGTGAAGCTGTCCCCTTGATGTTGAGAGGTTTAATGCAGCGTTTCGTGAGCGCCACTCGCGGTTCATACAAAACTGCAGCTCAGCCGCAGCTCGGCGTGAACGCGAGCGGTGGGCGATTGAGACGAGTGCCAACGATGCACAGCTGTAAGGGTGGGGGCAAAACTAAATGAGGGCTGCAACTTTTCAGATCACTAAAAATACACGAACAAACACACGCAGAGAGAGAGCGCGAGAAAGTTTAGAGAGACGCAGAGAGACAGAGACGTGGGGATAGAGAACGCGACCCCTGCACCGCCGATGACCGCTGTGATTACAACACGTTTTGTATGGATGGATGTTGAACTTTTTTCGCACCGTACGTAGCCAGCCATGCTAATCGGGCACCCTATGTCGACCCCGTTCAGAACCGTTCACGCAATCGAGAACGCGCGCGCTACTCGCTTCCGTGGCTTAAACCAACTACGCTTCAACTCGACGCACCTCGATCCTGCATCTCGCGTGTCACCCCCCCCACCTCCCCATGCGCTGTCCCCATCACGATGCCGTTACAGGCAGCTCTCTGCCCATCTGCACGTGTCCGCCCGGCTACCTTGGGAACGGCTACGGCCCCAACGGCTGCGTGGCGAGCGCTGGCAACTGCAACCCCAACCCCTGCGTGCACGGCCACTGCATTGTGAGTTCCGTCTCGACCGTGGCGCTCGCGACGCACGGCACGACGCACGGCACGACGCACGGCACGTTCAGGTTGTGAGAATTATGTCGGTATTAGCCTCGCCAATGGGCTCCGTAGTGTGGAAGTTGGAACTCCACATATATGGTTCCCAGAGGCCAACTTTGCAGCTGTGAGCATTAGTGCCTCTAGTGTACTGATGAGTCCTAATGAGGACGAAACCGGTCCACAGTTAAATTTCGATTTAAAGCTTTCGTGACTGCAGGGATTCATCTTCTTGTTTCTTTCGGTAAAGTCACGTAGAAGGGAAGTAATAAAATAATAAAAATAAAACATAATAAAACAATTCTCACGACGTTTCGGCTACAACGCAAGCAGCCGTCTTCAGGTGAAGAATGAGACACTACCAAACTAGGAGCTTATATATAAGCTGCATTGGGGGTTGAAGAGCGCCTTAACAAAAAGAATGTGCATGTGAAGAGGGATTTAGCATATTCATGGAAAATGCGTAGGCGTTGGGCGGGGGGGTGTCAAAGTCATATTATGCCCATGCATTATGCAGGATCAGCAGCAACCAAGGGGGGTGCAGGGATTAGCAGTAACAAAGGAAAGGAATGTTAATGATATGTAGCTGCAGTTACTCAACAACCACGTAGAAAACTAAAGTATAAACTACATAAAAAACTAAAGTATAAACTGCATCGCACCATCAGTATACTTACTATACTCTATAATAAGCTGAGTTACTTACAGCAAGTAATACATTACAATTTTACCTCGTAAAAATTCTATAATATGCTTCCATATAAACCTTATTCTCTTACATCAAGAAGGATCCTGTTGAGGAGCCTTTCAAGACCATCACCTTACCCTACATTGCTGGGGTCACAAAAAAGATCTCCAAAATCCTGATTAAACACAAGATCCAGGTCCGATTCAACACAGTACATAAAATCCGTGATCTGGTACCGTCTGTAAAAGATGTGGTTCCAGACATACAGTACCCTGGCGTCTACAAACTAAGTTTCCTCTGTGGTAGCAGTTACATTGGGGAAACCAAACGACATGTCTCGGACCGCATCCGTGAACATAAAGCTGACCTGAAACACGGTAGGACTAACACCTCAGCCGTGGCAGATCACTGTTACAACTCAGTGGGCTCACATGATATTGACTTCTCCAAGACAGAGGTTCTCTGCAAGCCATCTGGCTATCATGAGAGATTCGTTCATGAGGCGATCCACATATACAAACACAGAGACAACTTTAACCGAGAAGATGGATTCTGGCTCAGCAATCATTGGAAGGACGTAATAAACCATTTCGATACACATTAGGGTGTGTAGAATAATACATAGTGTGATATTAAATGTATAAGATATAGGTTGGTTTACAGCAATACAGTATATAATTTAATGTTGGGTTTATCTATGGCAGTATATAGTACGGTATATGCTCGTGTGATGTAAGAGAATAAGGTTTATATGGAAGCTAATTATAGAATTTTTACGAGGTAAAATTGTAATGTATTACTTGCTGTAAGTAACTCAGCTTATTATAGAGTATAGTAAGTATACTGATGGTGCGATGCAGTTTATACTTTAGTTTTTTATGTAGTTTATACTTTAGTTTTCTACGTGGTTGTTGAGTAACTGCAGCTACATATCATTAACATTCCTTTCCTTTGTTACTGCTAATCCCTGCACCCCCCTTGGTTGCTGCTGATCCTGCATAATGCATGGGCATAATATGACTTTGACACCCCCCCGCCCAACGCCTACGCATTTTCCATGAATATGCTAAATCCCTCTTCACATGCACATTCTTTTTGTTAAGGCGCTCTTCAACCCCCAATGCAGCTTATATATAAGCTCCTAGTTTGGTAGTGTCTCATTCTTCACCTGAAGACGGCTGCTTGCGTTGTAGCCGAAACGTCGTGAGAATTGTTTTATTATGTTTTATTTTTATTATTTTATTACTTCCCTTCTACATGACTTTACCGAAAGAAACAAGAAGACGGTCCACAGTTGTCCACGTCTGTCTCACTGCTGCCTGTGAGTCGGACACATTTGCTCGAGTTTAATTTGAAGGCGATCTATAAGACGTGTGGAGCACGATGCACTCCTGTGGGACCTGCTGATGTTTTATTTTCTGCGTAATGCACAAAGGCTGAGTGCGATCGACACGTTTTTGAGTGGTGTTTGAAAGCGTCCGTGTCGCAGCGAGCGCTTGAGTGATTCCCATCGCAGAATCGAGTGAGGGATCGGGCCTTTCCGACACACTCCGGCTGAAACGTTTTGCCCACAGCATTTCAGATATTCCTTTTTTGTACGTGGCCATGAGATGTCAGTATGATAACAGATTCCTGAATGTGTGCGTAGCTTTGAGTGTTGCACCCTTCACGTGAGTGGATTTCTTGAGGAATTCCAGTTTCCTTTCACAGTGGACAATCATTCCAATGTTAAGATACAGCTCCTGAAAATTAATCTTGAAGATCAGCGATGTTCTGCTGGGTAAATAAAGTGTGGTCAGGCTTCCTGTTAAAAACACACACACATCGGGCAGTGTTAATCTTTACTGGACTAAGACAATAGCGGAAGCTGCACATTCACCTGGCAGAATGCTCATGCAGTGTACACCTCCCTTTACGGTTGACAATTATCCAGTCTAAAACCTACTTGATGAAGTGCTCCATCCTGGCCCTGCAGCGTGGGTGAACTCACCTTAATGGCTTCATCATTGCCTGAGTCACTGGATTGCAGTCGACGAGAAGTTTGATTTAATATTGCGTCTCAAGCGGAGGCATTGAGCTGCCCGATGTGGGCGCATGCATGTTGAATTCCCCGTGTCATACATGGGACGGATTAGCACCTCGGTATCTGTGACACCGGACAGAATAAGTTGCCAATAAAAACAGCGCACAGATCCGACCGCTTTCGAGACGCGTACGGGAGACCGGGACGTGCGGGAACATGTGCGAGGAGTTTGAGTTTATAAGGCAGGTGCGACGACACACGGGCGTTCCACCACATTTGTTTTTAAAAACATTTTTTTAATATTTCAGTAGGAGCCGAGTACAGAGCACACATTCAAACGCTGTGCTCCTGAGTTTAGAAGAGAAAGAGATCGGGCTCGCTGCGTCCCACCTCTTCTTTAGGCATTACAGCGTTATTTTCGCCAGATCATAAGCGGCGTGCCGAAAGTTGCCGACATACGTGGGCTCACGTGTGGGTGTGAAGCTGCAGTTTTCGTCCGGAGTTTAGTGCCAGCCTTGCCCGGAGCCATGAGTGAATTATTTTTAATAGCTTACACACAGATAGCCCAAGCCTTCAGACTCCCGCACAGCGGTTTATCAGATATGTTCTCTCCGTGGCAAATTGAATGATTGCTCGGCATAAAATGTTAAACTTTTCTTCTTTACCAGCCACCCGATGTTCTTTGAAAGTATTTTTTACTTCTGAAATATTACTCAATTATTTATATAATTATGCGTACTCGGCATACCTGAAGTTTAGATACGGCTGCTACACAGCAGACTGCAACCAAGTCATACTAAATGTGGCCCAATCTCGTCGGATCTTGGAAGCTAAGCAGTGGTGAGCCTGGTTAGTACTTGGATGGGTGACCCCCAGGGCTTGCCAAGGGTACTCTGGGCCTGCGACGTGGTCACGTGATAACAGTATTGACGATTAACCCCACATATCCATGTGTTTGCCATAGCGATTCCAATTACATTTAGAGCTTTAAATAAACATCCGAAAACAGCACCCTTATTAAAGGAGTCTTGAGTAAATCATTTTCATCATTCTTATACAGATCTGCTAATGATCTCACGTAGTATAAATTCCACATTCCTATGGCGCGACCCACTACCAGTTTCTCCTCTATTTCATTGGTGTATCAGAACACTTCCAAAGGGTGTGCACGTTCACCGAGCGATATGAAGCGACGAATTCAGCTCACGCGATGGATCGTTCCATCGCGTGACCGTGAGAGACAGCGACGTCTTCGGGCAAGGCCTTCACCCAGCAGCGGATTGACCACGGCTCACTGACGATGACGACGACGACCCAATCAAAAAAACCCATCGTGCCGACACGCGTGCGGTGCGTCGCCGCCCCTCTCGCGCACACAGGAGCAGACCACGGGGTTCGTGTGCGCGTGCGAAGCGGGCTGGAGCGGCACCATCTGTAACCAGAACATCAACGAGTGTGCCAGCAGCCCCTGCCTCAACGGGGGGACCTGCGTGGACGGCACCGACTCCTACAGCTGCACCTGCACCAGCAGCTGGACCGGCACCAACTGCCAGACGCCCACGCAAGGTACGGGGGGGGGGGGGGGGTCGGGGTCGGGGTGGCCCCGGTGAGGCTGACTGTGGAGCTTTAAAAACTATAAATCAATTCTAGATTTGAAGCTTTCGTGACTGCAAGGATTCATATTCTTAGGTTTTTTTCGGTAAAGTCACGTAGGTAAAACATCAAAATTAATGAAAATAAAATAAAACAAAAATCACGACGTTTCGGAGGCAACACAAGTCTCCGTCATCAGGTGGGACCGTCACAGCCGAATTAGCTGCATCAAGTGAGGCAATGATTCAAGATGTAATCCCTTATAAGCAAGTTGGAGGGGGGAGAGAGAGGGGGGGGGGGCTCATCAGAATGTGGTAGCCAATGAATGGAAACGTACTCGGTAAAGTAAAGTACTTTACTTTACCGAGTGTTAACATTCCCAGTTATTTTTTAACAGTACTCTCTTCATTGTTCAGCCAGCATTGGTATCAACATGGGCATTTTCGTTCTTTTGTCTTTCATGTGTATCAGGCCTCCCCTCCCCCTCTCTGCCCAATGTGTTGAGCACTCCGTGCTGTCTTTGAGCTCCGCCCCCCTCCCTCCCGATACGTTTCCATTCATTGGCTACCACATTCTGATGAGCCCCCCCCTCTCCTCCCCCCTCCAACTTGCTTATAAGGGATTACATCTTGAATCATTGCCTCACTTGATGCAGCTAATTCGGCTGTGACGGTCCCACCTGATGACGGAGACTTGTGTTGCCTCCGAAACGTCGTGATTTTTATTTTATTTTCATTAATTTTGATGTTTTACCTACGTGACTTTACCGAAAAAACCTAAGACTATAAATCAAGCTATTTTTTCATACTCTTTGGTTCTTTCGGTAAAGTCACGTAGGTATAAAATAAAATTAATTAAATCACGACGTTTCGGGCGCAACAATTTAATTTATTTTATTTTATACCCACGTGACTTTACCGAAAGAACCAAAGAATATGGATCCCTGCAGTCACGAAAACTTCAAATCTAAGCTATTTTTTTCATTTTATTTTACCAGGTAAAGCCCACTGAGTTATATGCATATCTTTTTGAAGAAGTCACCTATCCACACATGATTGCTGATCGAAGTGGCTGTAGCATCACTCGTGGAAATGTATCGTAGCAGCGGTTGGGAATCAGACTCGGTTCACGAGGTCCGTAGTGCAGTGCGATACTCACTGGTTCGCTATCTGCTTCTCACGTGCCTTTAGAAAGTAACTCAACTAAATTTTTATTTTATTTTACCAGGTAAGGCCCTAATCATCCTCGTTGGCCCTGGAATGAATTACAAACGATATTTAAAACTGGAGAAGATGGGTATCACTGTCTGATTTCAAAGCTCTGATAGAAGAAAATGGCATTGACCATTGCAATTGTTTTTAGCGTTCTATATTGCACTATTTAGTATTGTGTATATGTGTGTATGTGTGTGTGTATGTGTGTGGTGATCTATTTTTGCTGACTTCTTGCCAGGTACCCCTCGCAAAAGAGATTTTAACCTCAAGTTTTTTTACCTGGTTAAATAAAGAAACAGCTCTTTTTCAAAGCGAGCTGGCCACAAATGATGGCTCAACAAAGTGGCTGATGACGTGGCAATTGATAGCAGCCAACCACCCTAAATGCACGTTGATTCCAAATGTGGAGGGAAAAGCCGGAGGACCCAGAGAAAAATCCACACAATCACGTGGAGAGAGACACCGCAAACTCCAAATATACAACAGGCGTCGGGATTGAACCCACGAAACTCCTGTATCGCAGGCGAGAGAGTTAACATCTCGCCACAGTGGTGCCCAGTTGGAATTACTGTCAACACAGCAAACCATCGCCCTCTCCTGCGAAAACCTTGGCAGGACCCTGCCGAAAAATAGGTTAACGGGTGCAATCATAGTAATACTAGTAATAATAGCGAGCCGCAGAGGCGAGTGCTGACGGTGGGAGAGGTTTGACGTGCGCGTGGCGACGCCTGCGCTGTGTGTGCAGTGTGCGGGGGGTGGCTGTCGGGCCCCGCCGGCTCGTTCAGCTACCCCAACACTCCGGGCTCCGAGACCTACGACCACCAGGTCAGCTGCGCCTGGGTCATCGAGGTGGCATCCAATCAGGTGAAGGCGCCGGGGCACCTGTGCACGCGTGCGCGCGTGCGAAAGGCAAATGTAAACAACAACAACAACAAAGTGGGAACATTTTAATCTCGCCACGCTCTGGAAAAATCGCCCAAATTCCTCGCTTGGTACATACACAGTGGTCGGGAAATGAGATGGCTTGTGATTTAATAATAATAATACATTTATTGATGTTTTCTTCTAGAGCTACTGTGTATCATGTTTCGCCAGTCCTGCGAAATAAATTGGTACTTTGAGACCATTGACAGATTTAGAGTGCCTGATTAATTAAAAAGTGTACAATAATGGTGATGACCACTCAGCCATTCATCCCGTGGCATTCACTCGAACGACGACCAACCTTGCAGGGAATCAGGTCGTCCTGGAGGCAATCTTGACGACCCTGCTATCCGAATGTTTTGTTCATTTCGATACACACTCGCGCGCACCGTCGACGACGGCAATCCCTCTGCCCTTTTTCACGCTGACCGGGGGACACCAACTCCCCTGCGTGCGACGAGCGGACGACCCGCGCAGCGAGCACGGCGGTAGCGCTCAACTGCGGCGCTCACGGCCCCCTGCACTTCTCCGTCTTTGCAGGTGGTGCGCATCACGTTCCCGTTCTTCCACCTGGAGGGGGGCTCCACCTGCCAGTTCGACTGGCTGCAGATCCACGACGGCAGCTCCGCGTCGACCCACATGCTGGGGAAGTTCTGCGGGACGACGGTGCCCAGCGAGCTCATCAGCTCGCACAACACCCTCTACTTCTGGTTCCGCTCCGATCACTCCGTCAACGCTGGCGGATTCACCTGTCGTATGGGAGTCCCGCGCTGCCCCGTATGAATCGCACGCACGCCGGTTCACACGCACGCACGTTCACACGCACATTCACACGCACGCACGTTCACACGCACGCACGTTCACACGCACGTTCACACGCACGTTCACACGCACGCACGTTCACACGCACGCACGTTCACACGCATGTTCACACACACGCACGTTCACACGCACGCACGTTCACACGCACGTTCACACGCACGTTCACACGCACGCACGTTCACACGCACGCACGTAACCCACGCTTTCACGGGCATGCCCATAAAGGCCCCCGTGAGCGCTTGGGATACCAAAGTGACGGCGCCGTGCGTCCGCCACAGTTTGCGGCGGCGAACTTTCGAACGACTACGGGGACTTCTCATCGCCGGGTTACCCCGGGAACTACCCGCCGAACCGCGACTGCTTCTGGACGGTGTCCGTCTCTCCCGGACGCCTCATCACCTTCGCGTTCGGCGCGCTGCACCTGGAGACCCACCCCGACTGCAACTACGACTTCCTGGAGGTGAGCAAAGCGCTCACGCACCTCGCCCGCGTTGTCGCCGTGGTCTCACGGCACGCGCGGTCGAGCATCTCGCGACATCAGACCGAGCAGGACCACCGCAAGAAAAACAACAACAACAAACAAACAACAACAACCGCCGTTCGCCACTCAGTGGCACTGACGTCACCACGGCGCTTGTGCCAAGCTATGTGCGCTTTGAGGCCACGTGAAATGTCGAACGCTCGCTGGCGACAGGTCACGGGACAGACGCATGTGCCGTGGAATGACTGACTGAGATGACTGGCAGGACCACACAACAGCCGTCACACACACACACACACGTACCGTGCACGGCCATTTGGGGGTTGTGTTGCTGGGGTTGCGTTGCTGGGGTTGCGTTGCTGGGGTTGCGTTGCTGGGGTTGCGTTGCTGGGGTTGCGTTGCTGGGGTTGCGTTGCTGGGATTGCGTTGCTGGGGTTGCGTTGCTGGGGTTGCGTTGCTGGGGTTGCGTTGCTGGGGTTGCGTTGCTGGGGTTGCGTTGCTGGGGTTGTGTTGCTGAATGGAAAGTGAAGAATGCGGCGTGGGGAGGCCCCATCCAGCAGTGGATTGACAAAAGAGCTCTACATGTAATTCTACTACTACCACTACCCTATACATTATCACCACTGTGCTTGTGCACTCCGCCTTGTGTTAGATCGACTCGGACACCCTGCTCCCGTGTCTCATGTCCCCGTGTCCCTGTGCGTCTCCCCGCTGCCCGGCGCTCCCCGCGTAGATCCGAGACGGCCTCCTGGAGTTGGACCCCGTGCTGGGCCGCTTCTGCAGCTCGGGGAACCCGCCGCCCTGTGCAGAGCACGGGGCCCAGCGCCCTCGTGCACTTCCACTCGGACGCCAGCGTCAGCGACCGCGGCTTCCACGTCACCTACACCACCTCGCCGTGTACGCAGGCAGCGCGCGTGTGCACGCGCAAGCGCGCAACAACAGGCGTTGTTCGCCCCGCTAAATTGACGGTAGTGTCAGCGCGGCGCTTGTGCTAAGCTAGGTGCACTCTGAGGCGAAGGCTCGCTGGCAGGAGGTCACGTGGCAGGCCCAGGTGTTTTGGGTTGACTGCCCGAGATGGTAATTGCACCGCTTTTACTTCCGCCTGCTGTGCTAGCACATACACATACGTGCGCAAATACGCACACACGTGTGCAAGCACACACGAGTCCACATGCACGCGAAATCACGTATTCACACACGAATACACCCACACAATTACACACACACGCGTGTGCACACACTCACACACATGCAGACACGCAACATGCACATATAATTGAAGAAAAGATCTCCAATTCAGTCTCACAGATTATCGGGAGCGAGTGTTGCTAGCAAGGATCGAACAAGGTTGGCACAGCAGCACACAAGTAGGTGGTGTGGTCGCGAAGATGAGCTCAAAATACAACGTATTATATAAGAAGTGAATATTAGTCTGGGAAAGCCTGTTGGAAGAGATGGGGTTTTAAATGGCATCTTAAAATAGCGATTCAACATATCTATTCACACACTGCATCAATTGTCATTCAACGCGGAGCTCGCCTAGAGCAGGTCATAGACATGTCTGATTAGTTACCACTCATGTGCATGGCAAGGAATCAAACCCAGGTTGTTTATTCAAATTTACCAAGCACGTCTGTTTTTTTTTGTAGAATAGGCTTTATTTTATCGTATTCTTTGGGTCTTTCGGTAAAGTCACGTAGATAGGTTCAAAGACAAAATAACAAAAAACTACGACGTTTCGATCACGACACAAGCGATCGTCATCGTGATCGAAACGTCGTAGTTTTTTGTTATTTATATTATTTTTTCTTTGAACCTATCTACGTGACTTTACCGAAAGACCCAAAGAATATGAATTCCTGCAGTCACGAAAGCTTTAAGGCCAAGATTTATTCAATCGTGTTCAGAAAGCAGACGAAATAATGTCCACCTGATGTCGATAACTGCTCTACCAGGACAAGCCGATTTTAAAACACAAACTGAACAGCAAGCCCATGGCTCCACCCTGTGGCTACTGGGAGGTGGGGAATTTTAGTAACTAATCTGTGGATACAATAAATATCGTCTAAAATATTTGGGATGAATTAATTTGGTTTACATGGATAAAAAAAAGTTAAGAAGTAAGGGAACGTTCCAGTTAATAAAGATTGAGTAGAAATAGTACGTAATTTAAATATATACTTCCACTAAATGTCATGGGTAACAACTACAGCACAGTTTAAGTCACAAAATAAATTCAATAATCAACATCCATTAAAAACAGGATGTCAATTTCATCGCAGCATCATCATATGTGTACATATCAACAAACAGTAATGCTCCAAAAATATCAATCCTACGTGTTTTTTGTTTTACTAAACGACCTTTGATTTTTCCAATTACTTTTGAAATTCGATTTCTTATTGGCCAACAGTGCCATGAGGCAGTGGTCATCGTTTGTACGATTATGGTGATGATGATGATGGTGGCGATGTTACTGATAAGAGGTAATGATGCTGCCAGTCAACATTTGTCAGTTTGGGAGTCACAACGCAGGCATCGGCAGTTTCCGTCTAATTTTTACCGTCCCATCTGCATCGACATCTCTTTTACACAGTAACGTTTGGCTCCATTGACCTCGAATTAACACTAGCTTATCATTTGCGTAACTAAAAATAGATTTCGATTTAAAGCTTTCGTGACTGCAGGGATTCATCTTCTTGGTTCTTTCGGTAAAGTCACGTAGACTTTACCGAAAGAACCAAGAAGATAAAAATAGATTCTTTCACACGCACACACGATTCGATTGCGTGGACCATGCGCACACCAATACACTTCAACCGTGGATCGTTACGTGCCCGCAACGTACGCGCCTCGTCCACCCACTCTCCCTGACCCTTCTCTAACCTCGTCGTCGTCGTTGCCGCTGCTCTGCCCGTCGTTCGCCCCCCACAGCGGACCCCGGCTGCGGAGGGACGTACACGGACAGCGACGGGGTGCTCATCTCGCCCAACTGGCCCAACCCCTACCCACACAACCGGCAGTGCATCTACCTGGTGCGGCAGCCCGTGGGGGAGACGGTGGCGCTCACCTTCACCGACATGCAGCTCGAGGGGCACAGCAGCTGCGCCTTCGACTTTGTGGAGGTGCGGGGCCCACGCGGTGCACTGAACACACACACGTGGATATGTGTGCGTGTGTGTGCACGTATGTATGTATGTACGCGCGATACGGGAGAGCAGCATGGGCGAGTAGGCAGGCTCTCCAGTCTTGCAGCTTGGTGTACAGACACAAGCAGCCACAGATACACCATGCAGCTCAGTCTACAGACAGCCGACCTGCAGCCGTCTGGAACGCTCTTCCTTCCGATATTAGGAAGAAGCTACTGGAGCTATGCACTTTAAACTATATAAACAACTAATTTTTTTAGAACTGCGTTTTTGTGTTTAGTTTTGTTGTCCTTCCCCCCGCACCTCTGACTAGCACGATTGGCTACGCACGGTGCGAAATCAGTTCGGCGTACACCTGCGAAGCCTCGTGTACAGACAACCGCGCAACCATAACATGCGGTTGCTCTGGGTGAGTAGCGTCACGTGGCCAGTCAGAGATTACCAGGAGCGCCGTGCTGCATAGTGGCAGGGCCTGAAAGGTGAAACATTAAAAGTGACGTCCATAAATTCCCCCGCGGGATATCGAGACCGCCAAGCCTCGTCTCGATGAGAACGGAGCGGAGCCAGGGTGGTCGATGCCTGTGCACTGTCTCAAGTTACTCTGCAGTTCGGCGTGACCTCTGACCTGGCTCAATTCCCTCTGCCCGACTTAGCGCGCGTTTCACACGCAAACCGAGTGCAATTTTAAATGAGGGTGTTTGGTAAATGTTCAAAGTTGACGTTTGTGTACGTCCTCAGTTTTTCTGCCGATTCCGTTCCGATGATGTACGCGTACGAATCGGAAGTAATGTGGGAGTGTGGCACGGTTTGGCGCCAGCTATCATAGAGTGCAGTCATGTCGCTACAATTCTCTGTGGTGAGTTCAATGTCTTTAAAAACAGTGGCGCTGTGCCTCTCTAAATTAAATTAACGCGAACCGCTTGCGCGTTCCGAGATTCAGCGGTGAATGGGACACCCACCCTGCAACTTGCAGACGTCTCGGAATGGGAAAAGGTTAATGATTTTTAAAAAATGCTTCACCCTTTCTGGTATAATACAGGTGTTAAGATGTTAAAACACCCAATACACACCTATTACAAGGCAGCCAATCGCAGTAACCGCACAAACTTGTGGTAAAAAACACATGCAAACGAATATGCTGGTGCTAAAGGATGCATTGCCCTTGAAACTGATTGATTCTGGCAAAAGGGTCACATGGATAGTCAAAAAGTGACACCGCTTTGTGGCCTAGGGAGCACCCAGCCGTACCGTGACACATTAACAGGGCACGCAGGGTGCAACACATCTTTGTAATTGCAATGCAGTATTGCCAACTTTAACCACAGGCACATAAAGAAATCTGCTGGCAAAGGAAACGGACCAAAAAAATGAAACGATAATCTTTAAGGTGCACGCACATCACGTGGCGTTTCTTTATGGGCAGAAGCTAAAGTCCGCCTGCTCGTGCGAAGTCGAACATTAAAAAAACCCTGCCCCCCTGTCGAAGGCGGTAAACTTCACAGAAGAGCCAACACGGGTCAGCTGGCGGTAGCGTGGGCCCATAAAAACGAGCAGTTAATCCGTGGAGGCACCTGAGCGGAGACAATTTTTGACGTGAGGCATGTGCTCTGTGGACAATGAAGCCCTCGCGGTAACGAGGGGTGCGGCGATTCACGAATTCGTCAGTATAAATACATTCTCACGATCGGCGTGGTCTGAAACGTCGCAGCTTTGAAGGTCGTGCTATACGGGGTCCCGCCGTGATGTGGATACCGTTCCACTCACAGTTGCGGCCAGCAGTGCTATCACCTTCTGTTCAAGAACGGCCCTGAAACATGATGCCGCAGAACGACCACTGAAGTCAATTCACCACAAGGCCCACGTTTACACCCCCAGGGCAGATATGTCAATGGCCTGCAAAGATCTTTCGTCGCATGTCAATTTAATCGAGTCTCTTCGGTGACCCTTTTATATCCACCAATTATAAATGTTTGTCACCTGGCATTCAAATCGGGATTTCGCCAAATTAAGTGAAAACCAAATTTAGTTCAACTTCTTTAATTTATGCGAAGTCATCATTGACCATGCCAAGACCATCAACTCACTACACTCTTAAGAACCCAGTTTTTTTCACGTGCGGATGAAATCCAGCGTCGAACCCCGGATCTCAAGAGTGCTGGCTCAGCTCTCTGACCCATTAATCAACGGAAATTTTCTTCGACCCTCCACCCTCTTCATTCCGCTATGCCCACCATGCCCATTGTACCCCACCGTGCCCACCGTGCCCACTGGAACCCACTGTGCTGTGAGCCAGGTGAGAGATGGAAGCTCCGAGTCGGCGCTCCTGATCGGGAAGTACTGCAGCAGCGACATCCCGGCACCCATCACCTCGTCCTCGTACAGCCTGTGGCTCCGCTTCAAGTCCGACCACTCCGTGTCCCGCGCCGGCTTCCGCGCCCTCTACCAAGTCGGTACGAGCCCCCCCCCCCCCGGTTCGCACCCCTGTCCTGGTTCCGCTCGCATGGTCCAAGCAGCAGCTGCTCTTTCCCGTTTCGAAGGAAAGAAGCAATGAGATCACGGTAGAGCAATGGATTTCACGTATGCATATATGTACGTATGTTGCACTTCTTTCGCACCGTACGTACCCGACCGTGCTATAGGAGGTGCGGGGATCGCGTCCACACGGCAACCGCTCATTCATGGCATTGGCCAACCATCCCAATGCAGGACCCTCCTGAAAAATTATTGAGACTCCGGATTTCTTGGATTAAGGGCACACTGTCTATTATAACGTACAATGTGAACTTCACGAGTCCTTGTACACTTCCGCACTCCTGGTGACCCGTGACCTCTGCACACCCAACTCCTGACCCCCAACGGCAGCGTGCGGAGGCCAGTTCAGCGGAATGGGCGAGATCCGCACCCCGTACCACCCCAACGCGTACCCGCACGGGCGCACCTGCGAGTACGTCATCTCGCAGCCGCAGGGCAAGTCGGTGACGCTCAACTTCCTCACCTTCGACATCGAGAACGCCAGCGACTGCAGATACGACTATGTCGAGGTGCGCGCTCACTCACTCACTCACTCCCTTGCTCGCTCGATCACTCGATTGCCCCTCTCGCTTGTTTGCTCACTCGCTCGCTCACTCGTTTGTTCATTTTCTTTTTGCATCTCAAGTTATACTCCAAGCTCTGTTTAAACGTTACAGTGGTTCACCTGCCCCATTGACAAATGCTCTTTTTAGAATTTGGCCGAACCCATCTCTTGCCCACAATTACTTCGCCTTCAACTCGATGACCCCTTCTTGTGTGTGGCTCGTCACAAGGCCTAACTCTGACCACCCCCAAAACCCCGTGACCACTTCTCCTCCGTCTCAACGGTGCGTTGCTGCGCGTGGCTCACTGCTGTCTGCGTCTTCCCGGGATCAGATTCGGGATGGAGGCAGCGAGGACGCCACCCTCATCGGCCGCTACTGTGGCACGGGGCTGCCTCCACCGGCCCAGTCCACGCAGAGCCTGCTCTACGTCAAGTTCGTGACCGACGCTTCGGTGGCCAACAATGGCTTCACGGCACAGTACGACGAGTCCCGTGAGTCCGTCAGCATCGACGTCGTCATCGTTCGAATAATAATAGTAATAATCATGATTTCAACGAGTAATGCACCGCGCAGTATTTGCTCGCATCACGGGGAATCGCCAACAATGAGGTAATGCTTCCGTGGTTCTGTTTTTATTTTCAAGAAAGTTGTGATTAAAGATACTTCTTCGAATACAATCAGTCCTTATCATCATCGTCATACCAAAAAATGTAACATCAACACCACCACTATGGGAACCTCATTTGCCAGTAAAAATATGATAATTGGTTTTTTACCCTTCTATCTGGCAACAGATATAAGGGTAAAAAACCAATTATCAACACCACCACCACCATCACGGCCACTTTGATAATCATTGCAAGTTGTGATCTACTTCACGTTACGTCCAAACAGCCAAGCTGTCTCTCAAACCATGAGCGAAGGACGCCGTAGAGATTATATTTGCCTTCTATAACAGGGACACTCCGTCATTAGGATCCACTCTCTTCGTGGTTCGGAATCATCTCGTAGCTCAGTTAAATTCGCGTAATTAAAATGTAGCATTTGGGTCCAAACTTTGCACGGAATGTTTATGAAAAGAAGATCAGTCAGCGGTTGTACATTACATCGTTTTGTGGCTTTGTATCCTGACGCTCTGTGCTACTCTTTGCCGTGACGCGACATTTGAAGCCCCCGTAATTTTCCGTGAACCCAGCGCTGCACTGGAACTCTCAGCGTTAATGTTCAGCGGTCGCTCGCTCCCCCCAGATGTTTGACATTCGCAAACTAACTACCTCCTATACGCTGCCAAGCCTGGTGGTGCCCATTCAGACGCTGTCTTTCCGACAGACCTGTTCTTCACCTGAGGACGGCTGCTTGCGTTGTGGCCGAAACGTCGTGAGAATTATTTTATTATGTTTTATTATTATTTTATCATTTCCCTTCTACGTGACTTTACCGAAAGAACCAAGAAGATAACAACCTCCTGTCAACTGCTCACCACCACCGCTCACCCTCCCCCTCTCTCTCCGTCGACCACCCCCGTCCTCTCGCCTTTGCCGCGACATCAGCGTGCGGTGCCACCTACACGGCGCAGCAGGGCACCGTGTCGAGTCCCGGCCACCCGACCCCGTACCCGCACGGCGCCAACTGCACGTGGCACGTGGCGGTGCAGCCCGGCTTCATTGTGCGCCTCACCTTCACCACCTTCACGCTCGAGTACCACCAGAACTGCGCCTACGACTACGTGGAGCTCTACGACAACAGCACCACGGCCAGCGAGAGCCTCATCGGAAGGTGCGGCGGGGGTGGGGGGCTGGGGAGGGATGGGGGGGACGGAGTTCCATCCGGCGATGCGGAGCCTTGCGCCCGCGTCATTGTCGTCATTGTCATCGGCGTCATCGGTAGCGGTATCATCGTCGGAGACATCATCGTCGTCGGCGTTGGCGTTGCTGTGTCTTGTTATATACATTTGTTATTGGCATCAAAGAACCCAGAATATAAAGTAGATTTTAAAAAGAGGGGGAACGAAACTGCAGATAACGTGTGTAACAAACTTGAACGTAATATACTCTCAAAATTAGGGATTCATTGGGGGCGTCTAGGTTTGCTGACCTTTCGCAGAAGGGGTAACGATCAGGAGCGGTGTATTCAAGAGGGAGGGGAAGAAAATTGGAGAAAGCGAAATGGGGGGGGGGGGGGGGGGGAAGAATAATGTAACCAAACAGAACCAGAAATAAAATGAATGCGTCATCGTCAGGCTTAATCATCGTTATCGGCTGCAATCATCGCGACCATCCGCATGATCATCATAATCACCTCAGCGCTCTCTATTGATTACCACGTGCGTAATTATCATCGTCGTGAGCAACAGCAACATAATCACAGCAGCAAAATAAATGCTGGTCATCATCACCATCTCATTTATTAAACAATAATATATGTATTATGTACACAAGCAAGCTTCAGCAAACCCCATAACTTTTTCAGATCGGGTTTTATTTGGGATATTCGGCCTCTTCCTTGCTGTGGCTCTGTATTGTAGGAGCAAGCTAGAATTCCCTGATACAAATCAGGAGAAAACTTCACACCTGCAGAGATGACTGCACCGACAGCTGACCAGCGATCGCCAAGTTCGAGGGCCCGCTGTGACCTGTCACCCGCACCACGTGTGTGGTGGCATGTTGTGTGTGTGGTGATGCGTGGTGTGTGTTGGTGGCATGTCGCGTGTGCGGTGTCGCGTGGCGTGCGCCCATCGCAGGTTCTGTGGCCGCTCGGTGCCTCCCTCCATCACCACCACCACCAACGTGCTCACCATCCTCTTCGTGGCCGACGCCAGCATCAGCACCGAGGGCTTCTCGGCCTCCTACGTGGCACTCAACGCCTCCACAAGTGAGCCGCGAGCGGTGCCGCTCCGCGCGAGTTCGAACGCGGGATCTAGGGAGCAGCGGCTCGGCTCTCTGACCCCCCTGAGCCACCCGGCCAAATCGTGTCGATGATTCCTAATGACGGCGAAGCTGGTATAACCACAGCCGTCAGAGTCACCTCGCTGCAAAAACTCTATAAGCGACCTTCTTAGTTAACTTCCTGATCTCTTCAGGGTATGTTTTCCTTTTGTGTGCGTTGTGTAACGCGCGGACTTGTAGAGTGGCACGTATTTCACACACGTATTGCTCACGGGAGCTGCACCAGATATTTCTTGAGTGTGATGTGAAAAAAAATCTATAGCTTTTTTATTTTCTAGAAAGCAAACACAATACCCCCCCCCCGTCTCAACCTCTCCACTCTCACGGTGCCACCTTTCACTCTCAAGCCATCGACGGGCCACTGATATGCACTGCCCGGCTTTAAGGGGGTTTGACAGTGTGTGCAGGACTTATTGAGTCAAGTCAATTGCCCCCCTTTTTGAACGAGCGCAATGCATTATTTATAGTGTCGGTGGTTTACATACGTTGGGGTTTTTTGGCATTGACGGAGAAGGCACGCAACGATCTGCCGTTGTGAATGATGTCACCTTGTACTTCTGCCTTCATTGCAGTTATCAGCCATAATGATGATCGCGCTCACCATGCCCGCGTCAGATAATCCAGCTTGCGAGAGTTTTCTCGTTGAACCTTTATGTAAACGTCCGCAACTGATGTCCTGTTACATGGTGGCGAAGACATTGGACAAAACTGTACAAATAAGCAACAAGACAAACGGAACGGAAACATCGGCAATGAAAGTATTGCATTCTTGAATCAATTCCTGACCCCAGAATCATGACGAGTCATACAATGGCTATGGGGGAATAACGTGTGTTGACGTATGTTGATCTTCTTTCGCACCGCACGTAGCCAACCGTGCTGATCGGAGGTGCGGGGGAAGGACAACAAATTTTACATAAACAGCAGTTCTAAAGAAATGAATTTACAATGTAGATTATTTTAAAGTGCGTAGGTCCAGTGGCGTCCTAATATCGGGAGGAAGAGCGTTCCAGACACCTGCAGAAGCGCGCTTCTGAAAGTGCGCGATACGGTGACCGTCTTTGTTCGATGGTGAGCCGAAAGCGGCTGCGAGGATGACCAGAGTTTGCATGATGGTTCGTGCTCCTTGACGAGATTAGCAAGGTCACCATCACGATCAATGGGCAGATAGCCTGGAGGTGACCACTGCACATTTCGTCATTTGTTTCAACTTTCCTCTGTCTTGTGCCACTATGCTCAAGTAGTGCCACATCTTTCTGGCAGCAATCTCCAATGTCGTCGTAAAGCCATTCTTTGTTAGGTCTCCCTCTCTTTCCGGTTCCTTCCAGCAAGCTACTGTGGTTCATTTGTGGCACCACCTTATCTCCATCTCCATATATATAAAAAGCAAAGTTGAGAGTATGTGTGTCTGTTCAAAATGTTTAGCGTACTTCCTGACATGCAACAAATTTGAAATTTGCCATGTGGGTACTTTCCTGACTGTACACCATGCAAACATGATAAAAATACACTTTTTGGGGGGGGGGGGGGGGGGCTCTAATAATGCATATATTTTTTGCACGGCAAGTGAGATGTGACGTCAAATCTGTCACGTGACCCGCGCATGTGGAAGCGTAACGCATTGTCGTGGCGTGGTTAGTGCTACGAACCCGGCGACCAGAGATCGATTCCCGCCCACGGCCACCACCAGTGACGATTATTTTAACCGCTCCTGGGCCTCCCCTAGGTCGACTCAGCCTCAAACGAGTAACTGGTGTGGTGTGTGAACATCGCCACTGTGGAAACAAAGGCGGCCGGGCGTGGTGAATCCAAGTCCCGGGCGAAGCCGGGTAGTACAGCTAGTGCTTAACAAAAATGAATCGCACACGTAGGGGTATAAGCAGCACGGTCTCAGCAGGGAGGAGGACGTCAGGCCAGGCAGGCGAAATCGGCTGTGCCCCCCCCCCTCCGACTAAGCGTGCATCTCCGTGCCACATGCAGCGTGCGGACAGGTGTTCACCGACCCGTCCGGCGTGATGACGTCGCCCAACTACCCGGCAAACTACCCCGGCTACCGGGAGTGCATCTACACCATCACGGTGGGGGCTGGCCGCCAGATCGCCCTCAACTTCACCGACTTCCTGCTCGAGGGGCCTGGCAACGGAAACTGTCCTTTTGACTACCTCGAAATCAGGTGAGACATTTCAATTGCAAGCGAACACACGGCCAAGGCGATGGACGGTGTTCCTCTCCGATTGCAGTCCAGAGTCGGTGGTGGAAATTCCACATTGCTGCGGCAGGAGCTTTTCTACCCACAGGACAACAAATTTTGACTTCCCACAGAGTGCAAATGCAGCCTCGCCACGCGGTGCTCATTTGACTGATGATGATGGCCGCTGGTGTCTGCTCATCACGAAAATGATGATGTTGAGAGGTTTTCATGGGGCTGGGGGGTCAGAGCATCAATTTGGCACCACTGAGATCTTGGGTTCAAATCTCGGTAGCCACGCATAGTTGCAACCACGAGTTCTCAGGCGTAGCAGGTTGATGGGCTTGGCCCAATCACCAATTGCTGCAGGAAAAACAAGCGTGACGTAAACTTTGAATTTGCCTACAATTTCAGTTTGACCGTCACGCAACAAGTCGTGCAGATGACAGGTCACTTGAAGGCAACTCAGAAGTACAATAGTTAGCTACAAACTCATCGCACTCGTGATGTGATACCTGCTTTTGCTGGCCCGTTTTCTCTCAATGGAGTGGAGCACCACTTTAGGAGAATCCTAAATGGGTTCTTCATTTTAGTGACGCGTCAGAATAATATTTGCATATAGGTATATATATTTTATATGCAGTCATTAAACACTAAGTGCTTGCCGCAAATGAACCACAGTACCTTGCTGATCTCGTCAAAGGAATCCAAACTCCGGTCATCCTCGCAGCAGATTTTATATAGCCATCGAACAAAGACGGTCACCTGCATCGCGCGCTTTCAGATGCGCTTCTGCGGCCGTCTGGAATGCTCTTCCGATATTAGGAAGGCACTGGAGCTATGCACGTTTAAATGAAGATTGAATACTCATTTCTTTAGAACTGCTTTTTGTCTTTAGTTTGGTGTCCTTCCCTCGTAACCTCAGCTGAGCACGGCTTGGCGACCTACGGTGCGAAAGAAGTTCAACATGCGTACGTACATACGGGACTCACGGTCCGTGCGCCGTTTACAGGAACGGCGGCTACGAGACGTCTCCGCTGGTGGGGAAGTACTGCGGCACGAGCGCACCGCCCCTCCTCCTGTCGCACGGCAACAAGCTGTGGTTCAAGTTCAGGACGGACGGCTCCGTGGAGGCTCGAGGATTCTCGGCTCACTGGGACGGCACGGCCACCGGTGAGCGGGCGTAGCGACGCGGGATCCGGACAGGTCTGGCTCGGTGGTCTGGCTCGGTGGTCTGGCTCGATGGTCTGGCTCGTTGGCCTGGCTCGGTGGCCTGGCTCGGTGGTCTGGCTCGATGGTCTGGCTCGATGGTCTGGCTCGGTGGCCTGGCTCGGTGGCCTGGCTCGATGGTCTGGCTCGATGGTCTGGCTCGGTGGTCTGGCTCGGTGGTCTGGCTCGGTGGTCTGGCTCGGTGGTCTGGCTCGGTGGTCTGGCTCGGTGGCTCGTGGCAGTGGCGGCGGTCTGTAGCGCGCAGCCCCGTCAACGTCAAAAGTGGAAATCCCACTATTTTATTATTGTACTTATTGGTGCCTCGAGAGCCAAAATTGCGCTTGCTATTGTGTCTGCCCATCGTGTCTATGGACAAGTACGACATAGCAAACACGAAATGACAAATATACAAATATTATACATCTGTAACTTGTATTGTACAGCATTTATTCAGTGGGCAAGGGGTGGGTTAAGGGCGAAGCTTTATCGTGTAATAATTAAGTATGCATACCTACTTCTGACACCGTATAATGTTTGCTCACAGAAGCAGCGGTAACTTTAGAGAAACCTTAACCACGGTAAATGACAACCGAGTTCCACGCAGGTCCAGCAAGCAATCGTTCACATGCCTCGGTAACGACGCCCTCTAGTGAATATTACCTCACACTACGAGGGAACTTGAACGACAAGAAATCAATCACTTCAGTTGCTTTTTCGAAAGAAAAAAAAGAGAAAATTGTCAACGACAAATAACGCAGTCTCTTCACGAAATATTACAGTTTTTTCTAAAAGCATTGAAGATCCATATGGTAGTTTTGGGACATCTTCAAAGAACTTGAAATCCTTAAGACATAGACCACCACAGATATTACATTAACAGGGGGGGACATGTGTAGCAGCTACGTCCTCATCGTGTCCCTCGCAGGTACCCGGTCATGTTCGCCATGTCCGGAAAACCAAAGCTGCAGCTCGCTGGCTGAATCGACATGATCCCGGCTGACACGCGACTCCACACCTGTAACATCATCCGGTGCTTTGACTGCGGGAAGTCGCGTGAAATAGCACTCGCTCAATAAAAATTACATGAACAGACACCGAAAGTCAGTAGCCGCGGTTAAGTTATCGTTCGGCAAGTGAGAGCGATCCCGCCGTTCGTGCTGCGTGGCTCTCTGACGAGCCTTCTGATTGTTACCGTGCGTCGCTCGTCACGGCGTCCGACCAAATGAACACTTTACTGGAGTGAAGCACGCGGAGCGAACAGCGTTGGGAAAACGCATTCGAGAACCAGGGCACACGCGCGCGCGCATACAACTCGCGTTCGAGTTCACGACCATCCCCCGTGCTCTTGACCAGGCTGCGGGGCGACGCTGACGGGCGCCACTGGAAGCTTCACGTCCCCCAACTACCCGCTGCCCTATACGCCCAACGAGGAGTGCTACTGGCTGATCCGCGCCTCCGCCGGCAGTCGCCTGCGCCTGACCTTCGCCGACTTCCACCTGGAGTCGCACGGGAGCTGCGCTTATGACTACCTCGCCGTACGTTTGTTTCATGTTTTTCGCCGTACGGTCGTGATGTCCTACAACGTGGTAGCTGCGTTGCTGAAGAACACCGTGTTATGGAAAAATCGCGTTATAATAAATAATATATAAGGTAAAGCACAGTCCGTGATAGCACGTGAGATGCGTACCCAGGCTGAACAAAGACTGAGGCGCGTGTGTAGCATCTAGAAGGATCCAGCAGCATCTCAAAACCCCGTGCGATGATGCTACGACGAGGCAGCCGTACAACCGCTTATTCCTACTCCATCATAAAAAATGCGTTCCCCAATACATTCATCGCGTTATATCCGATTTGCTTTTTGAGAGCGTGGCGAATCCGCCAGCTATGTATCACTCGAACCCGGTTGTCGCGCCGCGTCAACCCGGCAGCAGCTGCCTCAAGCGGCGCGCCCCTCTGGCCCGTCAGGTGTTCGACGGCTCGAGCGCGAACTCGCCGCAGCTCGCCAACCTGTGCCACGACGGCATCCCGCCGCCCATCGAGAGCAGCGGCGACCACATGTACGTGAAGCTGCGCACGGACGGCTCCATCAGCGCCGGAGGATTCTTCGCCACCTACACTCAGAGTACGCCGCCCGCCCGCCCGCCCGCCCGCTCGTCCGGCTCGCGTGACGCACTCGCCCGGCCGCCATTGTCGTTCCCCTGCCGGCGCGGCCCATTGTCGCTCCGCTGCTGGATGAAGGCCTCCCCACGTGCTGGGCCGCACGTGGGGGTTGGTTTGCCGCGCTGCTCAGTGTGGGGGTTGGCGAAGTGGGGGCAATGCGGGACCCGTTCAGACATCACCCGCCGCTGATGTTAGCCGTGGCTAGGAAGTGAACTTGTTTAGCCGGGTTTGTAGCGCAATACGCTAATCACTGCAACACGGCTCCACCCCTGATCTCTAGTACGAATTTTTTAATTTTTTTTTACCCTATCTCTGGCCACTCTGGCTTTGTAACGTGTAGAGAAATATTCGTTTGGGAATTTCTCGACAAGGGATTGTTTAAGCAGAATGAGAGTCTTGAGACTCGGTAATAATGCACTCATTTGGTGAATATTTAAAGCATACTTATTGCAAGAGTTGCCAATCACTGTGATGCTTTGAAGCCACGCAGAGCCGTGAATTGTCTACCACTGGCTCAGCGCTGCGTGCAGAGGTGATACCTGCCCGGTGCTCAGCTGAAACTGTCGTGTAATTGAAACTGTCTCTTGCCTTGTCCTTGTTTCTACACTCAAACCCAAACGCCAAAACTCCCAACCACCACTCACTTCCACCTCCACACCAACCCAAACAACTCCCGACCGCCACTCACCGCGACCGACCCACCTCGATACCCCGACTGCATACAACCCAACAAAGTCTGCCAGGGCACGGTGATCGTGAACCGCACACGCGGCTATTTGGAGAGCCCCAACTTCCCCAACGTCTACCTGCACAACAGCAACTGTAACTGGCTCATATCGGCCACCCTGGGGAACACCCTCAACTACACCTTCCTCACCTTCCAGCTGGAGCACGTCGTCTTCGATTACGTGGAGGCGAGTGACAGGAGGCGCGCGAGGCCTCTACGCGGTGCACGATGTTCGGCGACGATTCGCTCGATAATTTGTTTGCATGAAAAACTCTAAACGATTATCTTATCTTGTATTTTCATTCAAAAAGTCGGTCACCGCATCGCGCGCTTTCAGACGCACTTAAACTACCACGTGAACTCCGGTCATGCTCACAGCAGCGGCTTTTGGCGAACCATCGAACAAAGATGGTCACCGCATCGTGCGGTGCTTTCAAATACGCTTATGCGGCCGTCTGGAACGCTCCTCCTTCCGATATACATGAGGAAGCCACTGGAGCTATGGCACTTTAAAATCATCAAGATTGACAAACTCATTTCTTTAGAACTGATTTTTTGTGTTTAGTGTGTTGTCCTTCGATTAGCACGGTTTACTACGTACAGTGCGATTTTGTATTTGTTCAAGTAGCCTTTTCAATATTCGTATGCTCAGTCGGTGGCAATCATTATAGATGTAATATATCACCCCCGCTCACGGCTCTATGAATTGTCTCTATTCGCAGTCACAATTGTACGAGCGAATCGATTATTTGTATGTCACGGGGGTGACATCGGGGCCCGCACGTCAGGGGTCGCGACTGAAGGCCACCAGAGGCTGCCAGTGGCCTGCGAGCCTTGCAATGAAGCACACTGCTCTAGAGCATCCTGTAGTAGAGGCCCTTCCTCCTGCAGTGGAACAAGCAAGCAATTGCAGGGCCGCGCCTTTTCCACCGCTCACCCTCTGCCCCCGTGCGTCTCCGCCGCCCACAGCTGTTTGACGGCTCGGACGCCTCAGCGCCGCTCATTGGCAGGTTCGGGGGCACGGATCGACCCCCGGCCGGCCAGACCACGGGCCAGCACCTCTACACCACCTTCGTCACCGACTCCTCCGTCGCTTACAGCGGGTTCCAGATGAGCTGGTACCAAAACGGTACGCGCAGGGAGGGAGTGTGCGGGTGGGAAGGGGGGCGCAGCAGAGAGTCCGGGATAGACGGAGGGAACGGTGGGGAAATGGAAGAGAGGGGGTGGGGTGGGGGGGGCGGCAAAGGATGGGGGGGCCGTTTGAAGGGGGAACTGTGGGAGAAGTTGCATGCGCAGTGTGTTACAGCGGTGTCGTTAAACTGCCCTCTACACAATAATGTAATCTACGTGAAGCATGTAATTGCTTGGCTCCCTTGCAAGTCAATTAATTCTCGTGGTACGGGATAGCTTTGGGATTCTAGGTTCGATTCGTTATTTTAGGAGTGCATTCGCGAATGTAGCACCTCCAGTGGCTGCAGGGGTCACGCCAAGCAAAATAGTTGATGCACCTATCATGAACCTAAGAATCGATTTTAAGCGATGAATCAATAAATCATTAGTCCATGTTGTTATCACGCCGTTCTTCGAGTGCATGGCTACCGTGACGGTGTTAGGCTTCAAAGACAGTTCTAGTCCAGAGTAATCTCACAGTGCCAGGCGATGTCGCTGTATGGTTTTACCCAATTGAGTGAATCGCGAGCGGTCTTCAAACCTTCGTAATTCTGAACGCCGTGACCCACGCCGGTCGACCGAGGGCTTCGCAGGCGATGGCTCGGTGACTTGCGCGGAGATGCCTCCGACCCTTGACCTCCTGCCCTGTCGCCCCCGTCTCATCCCCTCACTCCTCGCAGGCTGCGGGGGAGACCTCACGGGACCGAGCGGAGAGTTCAACAGTCCCGGCTACCCGAACAACTACCCCAACAACCGCGAGTGCCTCTGGTTCCTGGAGACGTCGCAGGGCAGCAGCGTGCAGCTCACCATCGACGTGTTCGAGGTCGAGAGCCACCCCGACTGCAACTTCGACGTGCTGGAGGTGAGAGGTCGTGCCGTCGTCCACGTCGCGGTTCGCGAGCGGCCACGTCGGCCACAAACTCTGGCCTCCTCCCGTTATTTCCTTCCCGTCCTTCGTGCCCTGGAGCGTTCATTCTCCAAATTAGCACGGTTGGCTACGTGCGGTGCGAAAGAAGATCAACACACACACATCAACATACGTACATTATTGTTCTGCCCTCCGCTGCTCGTCTTTTCTCCATGTTTAAATCGCTCTCTGCCCCTCTTGGCCGATGCACATTGTTCCTTGTGGTGTTTTCACCGGTACTGAAGGTTTGCTTACCAATGATGTTGGAAAACGTGGATATAATATTTGTAATTGTTGTGATAACTTTTTAATTGTTTGTGCTTTTTCCTTTGGTGCCATTAATTTAGTTTATTCATTTTAGATTTTGCTTGGTAGAAGGGTTTTCATTGGCTTCGTATTGGCTGTATATGGGATTAAGTCCTGATATATATCATTAGTATACATTGTTGTGGGATACTATTAACATCAATGACACGATATAAAATGAATGTATTATTACAAAAATTTTTTTAGAAATTCTTACCCCTCCGCTCGTGATCACCGTGCCATTCCACCGTCACTTCTTTCCCACCGTACATAGCCAAGCATGGTGCTGCTCTCACGCATGACGTCCCTTCTGCTGTCTTCTCCTGATGGTGGGGGGCACCTTTGTCTTTGCGCCAGGTGTACGGGGGTCCCGACCTGAGCTCGGTGCGGCTGGTCCAGCTGTGCCACTCGCAGCCGGCCGGCCAGCCTCACCACGTGAGCAGCACGGGCAACCACATGATAGTGCGCTTCAAGACCGACGTGTCCGTCAGCAAGAAGGGATTCCACGCATCCTGGCAGGAGAGGCCTGGAGGTGAGCCCCCCTCCCCTCCCCACCCGCCGGAGGGATACAGGGACGTGGTGAGAGAGGGCATAGAGGTGGTCGTTTGATTGTATTTTTGAGATTGTGCCTTTGTGATATTGTTTGTGAGATTGCATCGGTGAGATTTCACTTGTGAGATGGCGCTTTTCAGATTGTGTTTGTGAGAGATTGGGTAACCTATTCAATGTGGAAGAAGCAATGGAGGTTTTTAAAGATGTATCCAGGATTTTTCTCTATCTGTCTTGTGTCCATTCCGTTAGAACACCTTATTATTACAATTATTTTACCCAGGAAAGGGTCATTACTCTTATTCCGAGAGGGTTCTGCAGTGGCGTGGTTTGTCCCGTGCTGAGTCATTAGTGTTTGGCTTGCGGGAGGAAAGCAGAGGACCTCGGAAAAGTTTCAGTCGGTGGTTGGCGTGGAAACGCGACAACCGCAATGGAGTCCGGTGCGCTCAGCAGCACTGCAGTGACGACAAAATGATTGCTACTCGGATCAAATCGCGACCTGAAAATTGCGACAAGACGTCACATTGTGGGAAAAGAAGCGGCGGTGGTGAGAGGTGCGAGGGGAAGTGGTGAATCATTAAATGCCTGAAATAAACTTGAGAAACGAAGATGGCATCCCCTGTGCACCAGGTGTTTGCGCTTGCGCTGTACCGCTCCCCCGCGGGTTTTCTCGGGCTGTTGCCGCTCACTGTCCGGCACGACGTCCGACGTTTCGCCCCCTCCCCGGCACTTGGGAGCGAAAACGTTGGCACGTCATTCTGAACGAAGGCGGGGTACGGCTCGAACACGCGTCGACGCAGACACCCCCTCCGCCTGGTTCCTTTCAACTTTGTTCCTTTCAACTTTCCCCCGCCCCCACCTATCGTCCCCCATGCCCTCGCTGCCTCCCTCAGGCTGCGGAGGCAACGTGAGCGCCCCGAGCGGAGAGATCCACTCGCCCAACTACCCGCAGCCGTACGGCACCAACGTTGACTGCTCGTGGCTCGTGTCGGTGGCGCGCAACCACCGCGTGCAGCTCGCCTTCAACACCTTCGACCTGGAGACGCACAGCAACTGCAACTACGACTACGTCGCTGTAAGGCTCGCTCAATCGCTCGCTCGCTCGCTCGCTCGCTCGCTCAATCACTCGCTCGATCGCTAGATCACTCGCTTGATCGCTCACTAAATCGCTCGCTCGCTCTCTCGCTAATCACTCGCTCGATCACTCGCTCTCGCGTCCATGCCCGGTTAGGCTCTGTGTGTCCAGCGAGGCCACCATGGCTCCACCATGAATCAATCGCTCTCTCAGTGGACAATGTAACAAAGTGAGAGCCCACCGATACCAATGTTCGATGATGTTTAATGTCGATGACAACGACAGTGATGACAATGATCACGTTAATGATGCTTAGGATGTTTGATATTAACGGCAATTACAACGACAGCGATGATGTTGATGAGAACAGTGATGTTGATGATGATGACGTCCATTATTTTGATGATTATGAACATATTGGTGTTGATGGTGATTACCGATGATGATGGTGGTCGTGGTAGCATGGCTCAACAGGTTCTTTATAACGGCTTTGGTGTTTAGTTTGTTGTCCTCCACCCGCACCTCCGACTGCATGGCTAAAATAATTGTAAAAAAATATTTTACCAGGTGAGGCCCACTGAGGTATATAGCCCTTTTTCAGAAGCGACCAGGCCACAAATGATAGGTCTACGAAGTGGCGTATCGCGTGGAAAATCTATCGCAGGCAAATGCTCCGATTCTAATTGTGGAGGGAAAACCCGGAGGAACCGGAGAAAAATGTAGGCGAACGCGGGGAGAGAGAGAGAGATAGAGACGCACAAACTCCAGCTACGCAGCAGCAGGCGTCAGGGTCAGGATCGAACCCACGACCTCCTGCATACCGGGCGAGGGAGTTGACATCTCGCGATCGCGGCGGCGCCCCTGCGTCGATGCGTGCAGGTGCACGACGGCAGCAACGAGCACGCGCCGCTGCTGGCCAAGCTGTGCGGCACGGCGCTGCCGCCGGCGCTCGCGGCCACGGGGAACGAGCTGTTTGTGCGCTTCCGCTCCGACGGCAGCGTGCAGCGGCACGGCTTCAGCGCCTCCTTCAGCACCGGTGAGCTGCGGCACCGTCGTTGTCGTCCTCGTCGTTATCGTCATGAACATCAACACCATTGTCACCGTCGTCATCAACACCATCGTCACCGTCGTCATCAACATCATCGTCGTCGTGGTTATCAACATCAACACCATCGTCACCATCATCATTAACATCATCGTCGTCACCATCATCATTAACATCATCGTCGTCATCAACACCATCGTCACCATCGTCGTCAACACCATCGTCATCATCAACACCACCGTCGTCGTGGTTATCAACATCAACACCATCGTCACTATCATCATTAACATCATCGTCGTCATCAACACCATCGTCACCGTCGTCATCAACACCATTGTCATCACTGTCGTCATCAACACCATCGTCGTCGTGGTTATCAACATCAACACCGTCATCATTAACATCATCGTCGTCATTGTCATCAACACAATTATCGTCGTCAACAACACCGTCATTGTCATCATCAACACAGTCATCGGTATCATCATTGTTGTTCTCGTCAATATCTGTGTTATCAATACCATCGTCATTGTCATCACCAATATCATAATCAACATCATGGGCAATCAGAGTCATCACCTGTCATCAACATCAAAATTATAATCAACACCATTATCAACGTCATCATCAACATAATTTCACCATCATCAACATCACTAATTATCAAATTGTCAACATCATTAACATGACCATTAATATCATCGAGTGAGTGTCTCCTGTCGCTGAACGCCATCCGACTCCCGCCCCTCTGTCCACGGGCTGCAGGGTGCGGGTACAGGATCATCGCGGACGCCGTCGGCGGTGCCGTCACCTCCCCGCTGCACCCACACAACTACCCCGGCAACCAGAACTGCAGCTGGATCATCGAGGCGCATGAGAATTGTGAGTCACTATGAACTATTTTTAAAAATTTTGACCAGGTAAGGCCCACTGAGCTGTAGAGCTCTTTGTGAAAAGCGACCTGGCTATCACAAATGTTAGCGAAGTGTCTCATCGGGTGGAAATTTATAGCAGCCGAATACTCTCAACGCATGATGTAGATTCTCAATGTGGAGGCACCCAGAGAAAAATCCACGCGACCACGGGGAGAACACGCAAACCCCAAATACACAGCAGCAGGCGTCAGGGTCGGGATCCTGTATACCAGGCGAGGTAGTCAACATATCCTAGCCATCACGGCGCCTCATGAATCTCTGCGCTGCCGCCCCAACCGGTGCTCAACGCTCGCGCATCGCAGCCAACCGACTCGTTTGCCGTCCGCACTGTCGCCAGCTGCTCCTGCCGCTTTGACTTCTTTTGCTGCCGCCGCCGCTGCCTCTGCCGCTTGCAGTCGGCCACGTGACCGTGTCGTTCACGGAGATGGACATCGAAAACCGCGGCGCCAACTGCAGCACGGACCACCTGGAGGTGCTGGACGGCGACAACCCGTGGGCCCCGTCGGTGGCGCGGCTGTGCGGCCGCGACCTGCCGGCGCCCATCACCTCGCACGGCAACGCCCTCCACCTCAACTTCGTGTCGGACAACGTGCTGGAGGGGGCAGGATTCCGCCTCGTCTACGGCGCCTCCTACTCAGGTCCGTGCGCCGTCTCGCGCCCGTCACGACGACCCGCGGAGGGCGTCTTAGAGCACCGCGAGCCGCCGGACGCAGGACGGTCGCCACGTCGCGCGCTCTCAGACGCGCCTCTTCGGCCGTCTGGAACGCTCTTGTTTCCGACATTAGGAAGCGCTACGCACTTTTAAATCATCTAAATTGAGAAACTAATTTCTTTAGAACCGCTTCAACGTCCACACGTACAGCACTTGGCTGTCTGTGGCCCAGCTGTGTGTGGAGGCGGTAGCGAGCGTTGGTGGATCGCCGCACACACGCGTGTGAAACTGCCTTCCCGTGAGCATCGAGGAGTAGCCATACCCCTGGCTCGCTAGGAGAAGGAGGTGCGGCAAAAATGTTCCATCTGTACGGGACAGAGTGATTCTCCCTCGCACGCGTGGGTTGTCTCCAGGAGCTCCGTCTCCCTCCCACATGCAAAACATGTATTCATTTGCTGATAACATAAAGAGGACCGCAGAGCTTGGGCAACTGTTGGTTCCTCGCGCCTCTGAGTCGGGTTCTCTGTCTTCCAGAGTAAGCGAATACCATGTGGCACGTTACAATTTGAAATTATTATTATCATGACTTAAAACTTTCGTGACTGCAGGAATTCATATTCTTGGTTCTTTCAGTGAAGTCACGTAGATAGAAAATAAAAATATAATTAAATTAAATGTTTAATAAAAATAAATGTAAAATAATGAAAGCAAAAAACCCACGACGATTCGATCACAACACAAGCGGTCTTCATCGGGCAAGGCCCGCTGAGATTCATAGCGATTTTTCAGAAGCGTCCTGGCTATCACAAACGATAGCTCAACGAAGTGGCTCATCACGTGAAAATGTACAGCAGCCAAATACTGTAAACGCACGTTTCTAAATGTGGAGGGGAAAACCGGAGGACCCGGAGATAAATACACACGACCGCGGGCAGAACACGCAAACTCCGAATATACAGCAGCAGGCGTCAGGGTCGGGATCGAACCCACGACCTCCTGTATCCCAGGCGAAGTGGTTAGCATCTTGACGCCACGATCGCCGTCGCGGACGCCTCGTGACGTCGTTGCGCCGGTCGGTTTGGCGGCGGCTCTGTCGGCGCGTGCAGCGTGCGGAGGGACGTTCCATGGGGAGACCGGGGCCTTCAACAGCCCCAACTACCCTGAGCCGTACCCCTCCGATACGGAGTGCACCTGGGTCCTGCAGAGCTCTCCCGGAAACCGCGTGCAGCTCACCTTCAGGCAAGAGGCGCTCTCCCTGCAGCTCTCTACTGCTCTCCTATTTACCTTCAATCTCCCTCCTTCACACTGACACACGAGTGAAACCACACGCATGAAACTATTTAAAAACGACTTTTATTTTACCAGCTAAGGCCCGCTGAGCGACATAGCTCTTTTTCAGAAGTGACCTGGCAATCTCAAAGTGGCTTACCATGTGGAAATCTATATCAGCCAAATACTTTGAATGCATGTTGATTCTAATTGTGGAGGGAAACACCGGAGAACCTCGCGAAAAATCCACACAACCACCGAGAGAGAGAACATGCAAACTCCCAAAATGCGTAGACTTGCGTAGAGACCCATAGACTCACACACAGACTCATGGAGTGACTTTGGGCAGTGAGTGACATTACTGGCGTGGCCCACGGCGTAAGACCGGTGGCCGCATTCGCACCGTGGGCCACTCTTGGCCTCCCACCAACGCAGGAGACAGCCGCACCCGGCGTGCGACCTCGATGCCCGCGCCCGCTAAGCCGCCCGCTAGGCCGCCCGCTAAGCCGCCCCCCCCCTCCGACCCCTACCTGACGGGCGCGCGTGCCGGCCGCGCCGCGGTGCCGCAGGTTCTTCCAGCTGGACGGCCCGACGGCCTGCGGGGCCGAGGGCGACGGGGACCTCGTGGAGGTGCGCGAGAACAACGCGACCGGGCCGCTGGTCGGGAGGTTCTGCGGCGCGAGCCTGCCCCCCGACTACACGCTGGTGGCGAGGCACGTGCTCTGGGTCAAGTTCGTGTCCAACGGCCACGGCAACGGCGCCGGATTCATGGCCGAATTCTCTCACCGTGAGTGGAGCGCATGACACGGGGTTTGGGGGAGGCAGGGGTGGGGGGGGCGCATGAGGTCCGCACCCCGATGTTGTTACCCATAGTGCAGGGCCCATGCTCAGGAAATGTGAACGCTGGCCATGACGGTTGCCACCTATCCTGGTTTTTCCAGGACTGTCCTCTATTTGAGGTCGCTGCTGTCCTGGGGAATCTGTGAATCTTCCCCGGACCATTGAAAGTCCTGTTTTTTTTGTCGGTGTCGTAATGATAATGACAATAGCACACCACTCAAGACAATACATTTGCATGCAGTTCCCCACCTCTTCTGGAATTGTGAGATATTTTTCTGGTTTTTATTGTAACTCAGAAGTGGCAACCCTATTGCCCACAGAGCTCTGTCATTAGCGTTAGAGGATTATAGAGTGACAGGTACGAGAGTTACAAAGTTGAACACAGAGCCATGCTCAACATCTTACTTTATGCCTGACCATTTGTAGATTTAACACCGAACACTGTGTGCTTGAGAAAACAAGCATTTCGATTGGCACTAACCTTCCTGGGAGCTTTTATTCGGGATCCATTCGGATTCACTTAGAAGCTCCCAGCACGTGGAGCGAAACGTCGGACATCATGTCTGCAGCGGGCGGTCGTACAGCGGCCGTTGTGCCAACGCGCGCACCTCTCCCGCACTTGTGATGCACAGAGTTCGGGAACGACATCACGGGCACCAGCGGGCAGGTGGCGTCGCCGTTGTGGCCGCGCACGTACCCGCACAACGTGGACTACCGCTGGACGATCCGCGCGGGTGACGCGAGCGAGCGAGTGCACATCACCTTCCTGGAGATGGACATCGAGGACTCCACTGTCTGCACCTACGACAAGCTCTCGGTGAGCACTGCCCACCCCACTCCCCCCCCCACCAACCCCGGAGAAGCTGCCCCACTTGTGCGGAGCGTCACAGGGGAGGTGTGACGAGAACCGACGAGAGGGAAAACAATGGCGTTGTCGTCGTCGTCGTCGGGAACGCGACGGCGAGAAAAACCATGAAGGTCTCGCGTGACCTTTCCGACCCCCCCGCCACAGGTGTACAACGGGCTTGACTCGAGCGCGCCGCTCCTCGGGACGTTCTGCGGCTTAACGCCACCGGGCCCCCTGCGCAGCACGGGCAGCAGCATCAGCCTTTTCTTCCACACGGACTCGTCCGTCGCCGGGCGAGGCTTCCTGGTCGATTGGCGCGTCTTCCCGGGCGACATCGACCCCTCTGTGCCACCCACCATCGCCCCTGGTGAGAGCGGGGCGCGATGGTTGTCCTTGCCGTCTGGCCCAGGTCAAGATTCAAGGGTTAAGGTGTCAGTGCTCAGTGTCTAGGCCCGATCCACTGTGTTTCAGAGTAAAAACAGATTTTCACAGTCGAGCAAGGAAAGAAATAGCCGAGAGGTAGGGGCGTTTGCTGCTTGCTGCAGGGGATCATGCTTCGAGCCAGGCGGCCACCCTGGTTAATACTAAGGGTGCGTTGCTCACACACACACTACTCGTCGTATGTTTTGCGGTGGACGTTACAATATCCCGTGGCGTTATTTCAAAATGAGCAAACCGCTTATGCCGGCACCGACGTCCAAATTTGCCAGGTTTGAAAAATGACCATCACGTAATATTTTTTTTTTCTTATGCCACAGACAAACAGTAAATGGTCCTGTGTCACACAGAGTACAGGACCCCATGCCATTTAGACACAGCACAAGACCCGTTCCACTTAGACACACGAACAGGGCTCCAATGCCACTTAGACACAGCACCGGGCCCCATGCCACAGTACGAGGCCTGCCTTGGGGCGTTACAACCCACGGAGGGTGCGTGCCGTGCCACGGGGTGGGAGACGTCACGGTGGGTCCGAGCGCCCGGCCTACCCAGCGTCCACCGCGATGGGTTTGCGACGCTCCGCCGCTCTGCCCGCAGGCGCGTGCGGTGGCGAGCTGGTGGCGGGCGACGCGGCGAGGGCCATCTTCTCGCCGGGCTGGCCCGGGGAGTACGGAGACAACCTGGGCTGCGCATGGGTCATCCGTGCGCCGCAGGGCCACAGCGTCCAGCTTGACGTCCTCTTCATGGACATCGAGATGCACGGATCCTGCTTGTACGACTACCTGGGCGTGCATGACGGTGAGGATGGGCGGGAGGCAATTGGAGGTGGGGGGGTGGGGCAAGGGTTGCTACGCAAATTGGAGGAGGTCTGTTAAACCGACAGTGCGGGTTATCTCAGCTGCCTTCACTCCTGGAGAGGTCGTAGATTCCACAGTAAAATCATGAGAGGAGTAGGCCATTTGCGTGCCGTAGTCATGGACCACATTTGCCAAATTACATGAAAATTACTCATTTGTAAAAAAAAACATAGCAATTCCCGCCCCTCACTGCGAAAATTTGAGTGAGGTTTTCCTGATAAACATGCACAATAATAATAATAATTATCCCAACAAGACCAGTGGAGCCATATCAGCCAAAGGTGATAATTGAAATGGGACTGCACAGACAATCAACTATATTTCTAATTCTACTTCGCTTTGTAAATCCGCTGCCAAAATAAAGGCCTCCTCACCCTATGTCGGCCGTGGAGATTTTTCGACCATACTTCGCCACGCTGGTCAATGCAGGGCAGTGACGGCAATCGCTCAGGAATATCGCTCAACCACTGACAATAGCCGTGGCCAGGAATCGAACCCAAGCCTCCAGGTTCATAGCGCAGTGTGCGACCACTGCGCCACCACCCCACACGCGATGTCAACGTACGTGTTCGAGAAATGTGCTTTTGGGACGGGCGTAACGTCCACGCGATTGTCCGTGTTAGCCGCTGAGGGCGTGACGGCTTTCTTTTTTTAATTCCCGTTGCCGTGTGCCCCCCGTGCCGTTCACGTTCCGTTGTAACGTGCACCCATGCCTACTTTATCGAGGGCGATATTGGCGCGTAAAATAAAGACTGAGTGCCAAGATTGATATTGCATGGATCAGTGAGTTGGAATTCGACAATGAAAGCGGTGTGAAGGAAACGTTTGTCTTTAACAGCACTTGCTCTTTCCCCCTTACGTTCCCTCGCGACCACAGGCGACAGTCTCAGCTCCCCCAGGCTCGCCCGGCTGTGTGGCCGCGACCCCCCGGGCCCTCTGCACTCCACGGGCAGGTCCATGTACCTCTACTTCTACAGCGACGTTCACACACGCGGCCTGGGCTTCAACGCCACCTTCCGCAGCGGTGAGCGACGCCCCGCTGTGACGACCGGGCAGCCCTGGGGGGGGGTCTGTGTGGTCCTGGGGGGGGGAGGCACGTGGTCCTGGGGGGGGGGGGCACGTGGCCCTGGAGTGGGCCGTGTCGCTCTGGGTGGGGGCTCGTGCTGTGTATGAGATCACGGAGCCACCACCGCTGAGACCTCGGGGTTACAATCCGGGTTTTAATCCGTGAGGTCTCTTTGTCGTTCTACCCATTGCTGAGCGAGATGTAACTACCTCACCTGGCATACAAGAGGTCGTGGGTTCGATTCTGACCCTGACGCCTCTATATTTGGAGTTTGCATGTTCTCCCCGTGGTCATGCGCACGAACCGAGCTGCTCACTTCATCCACTGGGTTGCATTCGATTTTTCACTTCACGACCTACCAGGGTTCATCAAACGCCTCTCGGGCAGTCCGTGCCAATCTGTTCTATCGCCAGTGGGTTAACAGAAGCGACCAATTGATTGATAGGAAGCGATTGGGTTGTCGTGCCGAAATCGCAGGCTGCGGGGGCCGCTACAACGTCGACCAGGGCGTGATCACGTCGCCCGGCCGCCCCAGCAACTACCCGCCCAACAGCGACTGCGTGTGGCACGTGACGGCCAGTCCCGGCTACGTCATCTCCACCAGCTTCACGCCGCCCTTCCAGGTGCAGGGCACCGGGGTCAACTGCGCCGGAGACTTCTTGGAGGTGAGGACGCACACAAATATATTGTCCCCCCACACAGCCCGTATAGCCTTAACAGAATTTTTGGGACAAGTGCTGTTCATGAGCATCTTTGAAGGCTGGCACAGCACGCGAGGGTGTCTTCCTGGTGGCGATGTTTACACGCCACACCAGGTACTCATTTTGAGGCTGAGTCGACCTCGGGGAGGCCCAAGACCGGTTCAGATAATCGTCAATGGTGTTGGCCGAGAGCGGGAATCGAACTCAGGTCGCCGGCTACGTAGCGCAGCTTGCTAACCTGCTGCACTACCGCTCCCCACACGCGTGCACCCTAGGGGCCGTCCATAAATGACGTCACGCACCTAGGGGGGGGGGGTCAGACATTTGTAACGATATGTGACAAGGGGGGGGTTGAGAAATGTGACGTCACATCAAAATGCGCAACTTTAAATAAATATAGACAACTCTTTCTACTTAATTAAATTGACTTTTTTATCAATTTTTTCTCCTACAAACATCAGAGTGCAGCGCCACATTAAATACGCCCTACAATGACGATAGTTTAAAGCGATTTGAAGCATGTTTTTTTTGTTGGGGGGGGGGGCAGAGCTTTGTGACGTCATATTTGAGGGGAGGTCTGACTTTTTGTGACGCCGTGTGACGATGGGGGGGGGTAAAAAATCGTCCAAAATCGCGTGACGTCATTTATGGACGGCCCCCTAGCCGTTACGCGAGTGAGTAACGCGCGTGCACTCAACGAGCTTGCGGTGCGCGGCATTCGTCGATGGCGCGAGCTCTCAGACCGTCCAAGACTCGTGTTGCTCGGTCAGCGAGTCAAGCGCCAGGATTCTAACCGGGCAAGAGCCGGGGCATGGTGCCGATCGCAGAGCGGCGTCGGTCTCGATTGCTGAAGAGGCTCGCCGAGGACGTGGAGAGAATTTGCCGGACATCGTGCCCAATAACACACGGCGCAGTTAGAACATGGGGGAGGGCTCACCATGTGGCTTCTAACCTGGGCACAGTATGTCGACCACGTAGAAATCATTCGTAAGCTGCCACGTTGTCGAACGTAAATCGGACAGGCTGACTTCACTTCATTCACGCTGGGATGGCGCACTTGCTTTCACGCTCGCCCCAAATCATCACCTTATTCCGTAAATAAGCCACCTTATCTTAAACAGCAGACGACTTAGTTCAATATGACACCATATACGTATTACTATCAACATGATGACGATTTTGAAATTGTGACCGTGATGTTGGTGGAGCCGCGAGTACGATTGCCTGTTGACGACGGCACGGTGCAGCCCGTTCCACGCACCGCTCACACCGCCGCCCCCTCTCCCCCACAACCCACCCCCCACCCCACCCCTTCCCATCCCAGCTGCGCAACGGCGCGAACGCGACCTCGCCACCCCTGGCGTCGTCCGGCGACGGCACGGGTCGCTACTGCGGCAACAGCCCCCCGCCCACGCTGAGCACGACGGACCGAGACCTCTACGTGCACTTCCACTCGGACGGCGGCGCGGAGAACCACGGCTTCGAGATGCGCTTCCAGGCGCACGGCGCTGGTGAGGGCCGCTGGTGGTGCACGGGACGATGATTGCGAGCCTCGTTCGGGAACCTTCGGATTGAAAACTCGTTTCTTTACGGCTGCTTTCTGTGTTTAGTTTTCTGTCCTTGCTCCCCGCACCTTCGATTAGCGCGGTTGGCAACATGCAGTGCGAAATAAGTTCAACACACGTACGTAGATGCGTAGCCGGGAACCCCAATTGAATTGTTCGGAGTATTTGGCTGCTAAATACACTTCCACGTGATAAGCCACTTCGTTGTGCTCTCATTTGTGGCCAGGTCGCTTATGAAAAAGATCAATATAGCTCAGTGGACTTTACCTCGTAAAATAAATATCAAATAGTATTCATGACCTTGTTCTGCAGGGCGTCATTTGGCCAAAGTGCAATGTTAGCGTGGCGAAATTAATACGCTGGATTAAAGGGGCACACTCTGGTCAGAGATTGAGACCTCGTTTAGGACTTTGCTGTAATCAGGATCTCAATGACATCTCCTGTAACCAGATGGGTGGGACTCATAGCCATGAAGCCATTAAGAAACAAAACCCCCAACATGTCTCGAGCGACCAACTGCCCCGTATTGTTCCAGCTCGTCTGCGATTCATCAGAAATTGCGAGATGCAATGTGCATGCACGACACTATATAAATTCATCATTAGATTAAGAAAACAAATATTTACATCTCAGCCCCATTTACTTGAGGAATTGTCTCCATTCCACTGCTCATGAGCCAGTTCCAGAGTTCAAACGTCTTCATCTCGTTACAACGCGACACCGATAGCTCGACCGCAAGACAATCTGAACGAGGGACGAAAGACGCGAAACGGATATTGAAACCCGCGCCCCCCCCCACTCCCCTCCCCCACCGCCCCCCCACTCCCCTCCCCCACCGCCCCCCACTCCCCTCCCCTCCGTGTCGTGCAGGCTGCGGTGGCGTCCTCGGCCTCACGCACCAGAGCCCGAGCAGCACGGTGACGTCGCCCAACCACCCCAACAACTACCCCCAGAACGTGGACTGCGTCTGGATCATCACGGCGCCGTCCGACGAGGCCATCCAGCTGGACTTCGTGGAGCCCTTCTACATCGAGCCCCACCCCAAGTGCGAGCGACGGCCCCGGCGACACGACCCGAGTTCGATTCCTGTTCACGGGCCAACGCCAGTGACGATTATCTGAAACGGTCCTGGGCCTCCCCTAGGTCGACTCAGTCTCAAATCGGTACCTGGCGCGGTGTGTAGTAGTCAACATCGCCACTGGGGAAGCCGAAGGCGGCCGTGTACGTGGTGCTGGCCACCCACCCCCCTCGTGTGCCACAGTGCCGGCCTTCATAGGTGCTCGCTAACGGCATTTGTCTGTTAACCTTTTCCTGTTCCAAGACAACTGCAAGTTGGTGGGTTTCCCGTTCACTGCTAAATTTCGGAACACAGCAAGCGGTTTGGCGTTAATTTTATTTACTGAGGCATAGCGCCGTTGTTTTTCCAGACATTGTACTCACCGCAGAGAACTGTGGCGACACGACCGCACTCCCCGATAGCCAAACCGTGCCACACGCCCTCCCACCTGGCCTGGCGGGAGCCTCGGTACCGATGAAGTCACTTTGTGTTAGTTTACGTGACCGAGACGTCCACGTGCATCATCGGAACGGGAAAGGGTCACAGGCAACACGGGGCGACCTTTGTCTTTGCACACGTGTGAGAATCCATGACCTCGTGACCCTCCCCCCCTTTGTCCTTCCATGCCACAGCTGCGTGTACGACTACCTGGAGGTGAGGGATGGCGGCAGCAACGACGCGCCGCTCATCACCCGCCTCTGTGGCTCCCAGAAGCCCTCGACGCAGAAGTCGACCGGCAACGTCATGCGGCTTCGCTTCCGCACGGACTCCAGTGTCACCCACCCCGGCTTCAATGTCCGCTACTCCCTCGGTACTTGCCGCCCGTCGTTGTTGTCGTCGTTGGCAACTTCATCATCATGAGTACACTTGTTAACCTTGTCATCGTCGTGTCTCAGCATCGTCACTATCGTCATCTTTGTCATAATCAGAACTGTCGATAATCAGCGTCGTCGTTGCCATCAGCATTATCATCTTCAGCATCAGTATCATCACCATCTTCAATATCAACATCATCACCTGCACAATTATAGCCATCATTGTGGTTATCATTGCCATGGTGATGATGTCGCCGACCTCTTTGTTATCGTTATCATCAACATCATTATCATCATCGTCATCATAACCTCGTCATCATCACCATGTTCGCCGTGGTTTCGCGGGCGGCGCCGTGCTGACGCGGTGTTGCCGCCGTTTGTGGTGGTGCAGCGGCGTGCGGCGGCACGGTCGTGGGCCAGAATGGCCACGTCACCAGCCCCAACTACTCGGTGGGCGAGTACCCCAACAACCTGAACTGCGAGTGGCACGTGGAGGCGCTCACGGGCCACTACCTCATCCTCACCTTCACCCACATGGCCCTGCAGAGCTCTGCCAGCTGCTCGCAGGACTACGTGGAGATCCGCGAGTACAACTCCACCGGTGATGACGGCTTGCTGCATGCCACCCCACCACGCCGTGCCACACCACATCAATCTAAGCCACACCACGCCGTGCCACGACACACACCCCACAACAATATAAGCAGCATTACGCGCCATGCCACCACACAATACCCATGTATCTTCACTCAATGTTACGTTACTCTCTGCTCTATGTCATTTCACACCACTGCATGCCACTCCACTCCATGCCACTCCACTCCACTGCATGCCACTCCACTCCATGCCACTCCACTCCACTGCATGCCACTCCACCCCATGTCACACCACTCTATGCCACTCCACTGCATGCCATGCCAGAACACAGCACTCCTTTCCCGTACAAAATCAAACCCCGTAACGGATGATGACGTTTGGAGTGGGTGACAAGGATTGGCAAAATGTTCTGGACGGACGACGTGTAGGTACGGCGTGGAATGACACGGTGACGGTGTGGAGCGCGGTGCGATGTGTGGAGCGATGTGCGATGTGTGGGGCGCGGTGCGATGTGTGGGGCGCGGTGCGATGTGTGGAGCGATGTGCGATGTGTGGGGCGCGGTGCGATGTGTGGAGCGATGTGCGATGTGTGGGGCGCGGTGCGATGTGTGGAGCGATGTGCGATGTGTGGGGCGCGGTGCGATGTGTGGAGCGATGTGCGATGTGTGGAGCGATGTGCGATGTGTGGAGCGCGGTGCGATGTGTGGAGCGATGTGCGATGTGTGGAGCGATGTGCGATGTGTGGAGCGATGTGCGATGTGTGGAGCGCGGTGCGATGTGTGGAGCGATGTGCGATGTGTGGAGCGATGTGCGATGTGTGGAGCGATGTGCGATGTGTGGAGCGATGTGCGATGTGTGGAGCGCGGTGCGATGACGACGTGCGGTGTGGGTGGATTGTCGAGCTGTGAAGGAGTGAGCAGCTGCATCGTGACGTGACCGAATGTCCAGGTGTGGCATGGAATGACGGACCTCCGATTAGCACGTTTGGCTACATACGGTGCGAAAGAAGTTCAACACACAGTACATACATACGCAGTGACGATGCGTACAGAGGAGTGGCGGTGACGACGATGACGACGACGACGATGTTGTCGCGCTGGCCGTGCCGCCCAGGCCTGCTGCTGGGCCGCTTCTGCGGGCAGGACCTCCCCACCGTCGTGATGGAGACGTCCGACAGCTTCGCGCACGTCCGCTTCGTGACGGACGGCGCCGGTGGCGGCGACGGCTTCGTCCTTAACTTCCGGTCGAGCGTGGACGGTGAGGAGGGCGCACGCACGACAAGTATAAAGATCCTCCACCACCACCATCCCCCCCCCCCCCCCCCCCGTATAGTCTGAACAGACTGTTTGGGCAGGTGCTGTTAGCAAGCAGCACCTATGAAGGCCGGCACGGCACACAATGGGGTGAGTGGCCAGCACCACAACCGGCTGCCTTTGTCTCCCCGGTGACGATGTTCACAAACCCCACCAGCTACACATTTGCGGCTGAGTCGACCTAGGGGAGGCCCAGGACTGGTTCACATAATCATCACTGATGTTGGTGGCCGTGAGTGGAAATTGAACTCGGGTCACCGGGTTCGAAGCGCAGCGTAGCGCTGACCGCTATGTCACTGCTCTCCATGCACACAGACGTACAGCCGCACTTCTGGGTGACTGTTATCCACACATGAATCCGAAGGCGATGAATTTCTGCCAATTGCTTGCGCATTTCTAGAAAACGCTGAGAATAATCCGATGAATTCGACGTCGCTTCTGGCCCACCATCGTGAAATTCAAAGAGTCGCGTGCCGCCCACCGGGTCTGTCAATGCCACCGCAAGTGCGGAGCTACTCCCCTTCCTGTCTCGTCGCAGAAATGTCTTTGACGTCCTCCGTTGCTCGCCGCTCTCTCCGCAAAACCCTCTCCCCTCCACTGCCCCCCCCCCCCCTCGACCACCACAATCAGAGTGCGGAGGAGACCTGGCGACCCCGACGGGCACCATCACGTCGCCCAACTACCCGAACCTGTACCCGCACAGCCGCGTGTGCGAGTGGCGCATCACGGTGCCGCTGGGTCGTCGCGTCACCCTCACCATCCACGACTTCCTCACCCAGGACCATCCCAACTGCGCCATCGACTACCTGGCGGTAGGTGCCGACGCGCTCAGAATCAAAACCAGGAATCTGGATTTGGACTGCAGGCAGGAATCCGATGAGCTGTGAAGCTCTTTTTCGCAGGTGTCCGGTTTGGGCGGGGTCAGCAAAGCCACAGCTGCAAACGATACGCAAAACGATAGGAGTGCTAAATAGAGATTTAAAAGGTGAGCAAGTGACTAATTATGAATAAATCGCTAATCAAACATGTAAGTCCGACCTTTAGTCACAGAAGATCGTGACACCCCCTGCCGGATATTCGCTCCACTCCACCATAGGAACCCACACGAACCCACCGTCAAAACGTGGAAGGGACAACGTGAGGCTATTGTTCGCGAGGTTGAACCAAACGTGTGTGACAACAGGTGTACGACGGGCTGTGCCTTCGTCTCTACCTTCACCTTACCTGCCTGCTTCCCGTGTGTGACAACAGGTGTACGACGGGCTGTGCCTTCGTGTCCACCTTCACCTTACCTGCCTGCTCCCCGTGTGAGACAACAGGTGTACAATGGGCTGCGCAGCAACTCGCCGAAGGTGGCGCAGCTGTGCGGGGACGTGGCCTCCGGCACGCGCGTGCAGTCATCCGGGAACACGATGCGCGTGCGCTTCCGCACCAACGCCCACAGCTCCAGCACCGGCTTCCGCGCCACCTACCACTCGGACGAGGAGGCCGGTACGGCGATGGGGTGGGGGGTGGGGTGCGGAGCACGGGGGTGGCCGCCGAGTGTCTGCCATGCCTGGGTTTTGTGGTCTAAGTTGTTGCTCTTGAGGGGAGGTTGATCTGTTAGTTTGTTGCCTAGAGGCCACATCAGAGTCCGGTCTGCCAGTATATCGTCGACAGACTCCACCAGGGTCCGCTCTGTAAGTCTGTTTTCGAGAAAACCCCATCAGATTATTCGATCCGTCAGTCTGACAGCTCTTTGAAATGCGCTGCCTTCACTACGACAAGATTGCCCTTGGCCCAAAACATACTCTGGAGGCTGTTGAAGTCTTTCCGTCTTCCCTCACGACGATGTCTGACGGCGGCGTTCTCTCCCCAACCCCCCCCCCCCCCCCCGCGGGACAGTGTGCGGGGGCATCCTCTCCAACCCCGCCGGCGGGAACTTCACGTCGCCCGGCTACGACGGGCAGACCAACTACGTCGCCAACCTGAACTGCGAGTGGACGATCGAGAACCCGCGGCACGCCAACTCCTCCATCTACATCGAGTTCTTCGACTTCAAGCTGGAGCACCACCAGACGTGCGAGTGGGACTACATCGAGTTCCGCGTCGGTACGAGCAGCTGTTCCGTCCACCCGCATCGCTGGCCGGTCTGTCAACGGGCCGGCTAGCCAGCCAGTCAGTTGCTCAGTTAGTCAGTCGCTCCGTCAGTGAGTTAATTGTTCAGTTGATTGCTCAGTCGGTTATTCAGCGGTCAGTCAGTCAGTCAGTCGCTTGGTCGGTTAGTCAGTTAGTCAGTCGACGATTCGGTCGGTAATTCAGTTGGTCCATCAGCCAATCGGTCAATCATTCAGTCGGTCCGTAAGTCAGTTGTTTGTTGATTACGCCAGTCAGGTGTTCAGCTAATATGCCTATCAGTGAGTCGGTCAGTAAGTCGGTCGGTCGTTTTGTCTCTGCCGCCCTCGCAGACAGCGGGAATGGGGAGCTGCTCACGCGCCTCTGCGGGCAGTCGGCGCCCGCCGTGCCGTTCGTCATGGCGGCCCCCCAGCTGTGGGTCCACTTCCTGTCCGACCCCTTCGTGGAGGACAGGGGCTTCGCGGCGCGATACGTCTTCACGGGTGGGTAGCGCCAGGGCGGGCGGGCGGATGGGCACGGGCGGCCGGTCTCATTCCCCCGTGCCAGTCCACGCTCAAGGAGGCTTCTCTCTCCTAACCCCCCAACTGCATGAAATCTTCTCCCTGTGCTGTGCTTCGTTCTCTTCCTTACTGCAGATGATCACGGCATCGCGCTCTTTCAGATGCGCTTCTGCGGCCGTCTGGAATGCTCTTCTAATATTAGGAAGCCACTGGAGCTATGCATTTTGAAATCTATATTGAAAACTCATTTCTTTACAACTGCTTTTTGTGTCTAGTTTGTTGTCCTTCTCCCGCGCCTCCAATTAGCACGGTTGGCTACGTACGGTGCGAAACAAGTTCAACATACATACAATACAAAACAATGAGACCCTATACAAATCAATAGGACCCAATGCAAAGCTAATACATATCAATAGGGTCCGATACAAATCAATCATGCAAATGAATGGGATGCAATGCAAACCCAAACCCAAAAAAGGTGTCTGTAAGTCTCAGCAAGGCTTTCCTGGACAAAAATTAGACGACGTAGTTCATTCTGGGCTCGTGAACCCCATTCGTCTCTTGTCTGCTGCGCTGAGAACCGCTGGCGTTAACGCGGCCACGCGCTCCTCGCCGTTGACAATTCGCACATTTGCCCCAACACAAATTTGCTGACCCTTCCCCCCTCAACTGCGCCTAATGGCCTTGACCCTACTGACAAGGTCTGCAGGCCAGCAACCTCCATTAAATCATCCAGCATTTCCGGCGTTTAACAATGCGGCCGAGTGCTGCATTCCGACACCACCATCATCATCATCCTCACAAGCGCCGCTTTGAAAATTTGTTAGAAGCTAAAAATTCCCGACCGATGGCGCTTCTCCAGACGGGGGGAGCGGAGAATATCGCGGACGTCATTATTGCCCTTTGAGACGTGCGGAGATGATTAGCGTCTTCCCACGAGAGCCGAGGCGTGCTTTGCTCCGACGCTTTGGGCTTCGTGGGGAGTGCGCATACCTGCGTTGTGTACAACGTGCATGCGTGTGTGGGTCTTCACTGCACGGCAGCTGCATATATATGTACTCCTTGTCTAATTAGACGACTTTTTCGTACATGCGTCCATGCGTGTGTGCGTGCACGTACAGACTGCGGAGGTCTGCAGATCGCCGAGAGTGGCGAGATCTCCAGCCCCAACTTCCCCGCTCCGTACGGGAACAAGAACCGCTGCGCCTGGATCTTGGAGGCTCCGCTGGGCCACACCATCACCGTGAGCCGTGTGCTTCGAGCTAAGCGCCATTCCAGGGTTCCTCCATCCATCGTTTAGGGCGCCGCAGTGGTTCAGAGATGTTAAATCCCTCATCTGATACGCAGGTCATGGGTTTGATCCCAACCCTGACGCCTGTATATTTGGAGTTTGTATGTGTCTCCTCGTGGTCGCGTGGATTTTTCTCCAGGACCTTCCCCTTCCCTCCGCTTTTAGAATGAACATCACGCGTTTAGAGTATTTGGGTGCGATACGTTGCCACGTGATAAGCCACTTCGTTGAGCTGCTATCATTTGTGATGGCCAGGTCGCTTCTGAAAAATAGCTACGTAGCTCAGTGGGACTTACCTGGTGAAATAGAAAAGCATAGTAGTTCATAGTTTCCTTGTGCGAGCGACCCCTTCCCCCGTGACCTCTCTCCCACCGACACCCCCTCCCCAACCCCACGCCGCCGCCGCCCCCACCACAGCTCACCTTCACGACGTTCCACCTGGAGTCGCACACCACCTGCTTGTGGGACGCCGTCTCCATCTTCAACGGCGGCGCGCCCAGCTCGCCTGTCATCGGCCACTACTGCGGCATGGCCGGGCCCGGCACGATCCGCTCCGGCTCCAACAAGCTCGCCATCCTCTTCAGCTCCGACAGCAGCGTGGTGGCCGCGGGCTTCCACGCCGTGTGGGAGGCCGACTCGGCCGGTAATCCGCCAGCATGCGCTGCGCACGCACCCCTGCCGTCGTCGGCCCTAAATGCAATCCGATCTGAAGGTGAAACGAATTATTTAGCGGTGATGCTGCTGCTCTTGCTGCTGTGGCAGTGATGCGCGAGGGCAATGCATGTATGTATGTAGAACTTCTTTCGCACCGTACATATCCGACCGTGCTGAGACGACTGAAAATTGCCAGGGTGGGTGTCCCCTTCACCACTGAATCTCGCTAGTGGCTCGTCGTAATTTGGTGCCAAACTGTGCCACACGCCCTCCCGCATGGCCTTGTGGGAGCCGCGGTACTGATTTTTTATTCCAGTTTGTTTTGATGACGTTCACGTACGTGTACAACCACCTTGTAATATTTGCAGAAATTTTACCCAAGCGTTCGATCTCACTGTGAAGCTGACAATAACCAAATCTCATCATCTCATTCACAACACTTTGCCATTTTGCGTTGTTATTGTTATGATTTCCATAATCAATACAATTAACACATTTCTTGGTGATGAATTTTCAGATGAAGATGTTTTTCTGAAAATGAGACGGCATCTCTCGCAGAACCAATCCTACTGAAAATTATTCCTAAACAAAACGAAGAGAAATTAGAACCTCAATTAGTGAGATATGTCAATAACGAGCATCTGTCGAAAAGAACGCTGCCCAGCCGCTCACACACACTCACACACTCGCTCACCCTTCACTCACCCACACTCACCCACTCACTCACTCGCTCACCCTTCACCAACCCATCCACCCGCCCGCTCACCAGGGTGCGGAGGGATCATCCACGCGGAGGACGGCAGCATCAAGTCCCCGGGCTGGCCGAACCCCTTCCCTGCCGACTCGGAGTGCACGTGGACGCTCGTGTCCCACGAGAGCCAGCACCTGACGCTCACCTTCGACCCCAATTTCAACATCCCCACCTCCGACTCCTCATGCAGCTCCAGCCACGTGCAGGTGCGTCGAGGGCAGGGAGTGGGCGGTAGCGAGAGGCGGAGGCGGGCGATCCGGTCGATCGGTACCGGTCGAGGCGTCCATTCGTTGACGTGACGAACCGTAAAACATCGCCATCGATATTGGATTTCACCTGCATGAGCCGTACGTTTCAATGCTTCCTTATGGTCGATGCTGGAATGGATTCCTTTGCCATCCTTCCCTGGCCGAGTCACCCTCCCGCCCCGTTGTCCCCCTACAGGTGTGGAACGGGCGGCGTGAGACGGACGAGTCGCGCCTGCTGCTGGCGTGTGGCACGACGGCGCCCAGCCCCGTCGTGGCGCTGGCGAACCGCGTCACGGTGCGCTTCCAGGCCACGGGCGCCACCACCGCCGCCGGATTTTCCGCCTCCTTCTCCAGCAGTGAGTCTGAGCCCCGCCACCAAGTCGTGGCATCTTCCGCCATTGAAGTCAGAGGGATGTCGTCTCCCTCGCCTGCTTCGGTGGGAGGCCGTGGGTTCGATCCGAGACCCCCGGCGATGCCGGTTGTTGTATATTTGGAGTGCGCGTTTGCTCTCCGATTTAGCACGGTCGGCTACGTACGATAACAAAGAAGCTCAACATTCATATGTACACTCCCTGCAGTGATCGTGTAGATTTTTCTCCGGGTTCCTCCGGTTTTGTCCGTCTCCTCGGTCAGAATCAACGTGGGTTCATATTGTTTGGCTGCTGCTGTGCGTATCCACGTGCGATGATGAAGCCACTTCGTTGAGCAGTCACGTGTGGCCAGGTCGTCTTCGCACAAGAGATCATAGCACAGTGGGCTTCACCTGGTAAAAGATAAAAGAAAAAACGGAATACATCATGATCAATAAAGCATCATTGTCATCATCATTCTCATGATTATTGTCATCATCATCATCAAACCTTAATCTTTTCTCTTCCGTCAGTCGTGCCAACCCACGCTCATTTGAGTAGGAAAACAGCTGTGAAAGTTCCTTATTCCATTAATGTAATTATTATATTTATTTCGATTTAAAGCTTTCGTGACTGCAGGGATTCATCTTCTTGGTTCTTTCAGTAAAGTCACGTAGAAGGTAAATAATAAAATAATAAAAATAAAACATAATAAAATACAATTCTCACGACGTTTCGGCCACAACGCAAGCGGCCGTCCTCAGGTGAAGAACAGGTCTGTCGGAAAGACATTCAGACGCCGTGAGAATTGTATTTTATTATGTTTAATTTTTATTATTTTATTATTATATTCATGTAAATACACAGACTTGTAATGCACTGCACCGACAAGCGCTTGGGAAGGCAGCCACGACTGGCATCAACAATTGGCCAAACTCTCTGGTCCTATGTTGGGTCAACTCCAGCAATTATTTTTGTATGCATGTGAGAGGAAACCAAAGTGCCCAGAGAAAGCCCACACGTGCGAGGGAAGGGCAGGACTCAATCCCCGTCAGTCCCGCTCGCTGTACCGCCATCGTACTCCGGCAAAGCCGGGAGACGTGACCTCTCGGCCCGATGTCTGCGGTCCATCAACGCTTCACCGCTCGCACGGCGCTGGATGGCAGCCTCGCGCAGGCGCCGGCCTGGCTCAGTCGCGACCGCCGCTGACCTCGACTTTGACCTAACGACCTTCGGACCGAGAGGCTGCGTGGCTCGCTCCGACCACCGCCACGCTCGGACTCATCCGGAAATCATTCCCAGCGCCAGTTCTCGTTGGCGTTTTTCCAATTTAACGCAATCATTTTTTTTTAAGTCCCTTTGTGTGTGAGCGACATCTGGGCCTCGATCAGAGGTGCTAAATAAATGTAAGATAAGATGAAGAGAGTGCAGCGGGAAGTCAGGTGCACACATTCTAAGTGTGTGAATCATGTAAAACAAGAACGAGGAGACATTTATAAAGTGATGAATTTAAAAAAAAAGTATCACAAGAACATTTGAAACTTGTACATTTCTGCTGTGTTAGAGAGATTGTTTCAAGACGTATCATGATTCGATTTAAATGAACATCACGCTTTTAAATATACTCCCTAGACGTCCGCTGCAGGAGATGTCTCCCCATTGTGCTCACGCCTTCAAAGACAAAGATCCCCTGTACAGCCTGAACAGACTTTTGGGGCAAGTGCTGTTAGCGAGCAGCACCTATGAAGGCCGGCACGGCACACGTGGGGAGGGGTGGCCAACACCACGCCTGGCCACCTTTGTCCCCCCCAGTGGCGATGTTTACACACCGCACCAGGTACTCATTTGAGGCTGAGTCGACGTAGGGGGAAGTCCTAGGACCTGTTTAGATCATCGTCACTGGCGTTAGTGGCCATGAGTGGGAATTAAACTCGGGTCGCCGGGTTCATAGCGTAGTGCTAACCACTGTACGTACTCCCCGCTATCGCGTACGGTCGAGAAACACGGCCAGATTAACAACAACTATACTCTTTGGGTCTTTCGGTAAAGTCACGTAGATAGAAAAATAATTCTAAATCACGACGTTTCGATCGCAACACAAGCAATCGTCCTCAGGTGAAAAAAAATAATGTTGCAATCGAAACGTCGTGATTTTTTCATATTTTTCTATCTACGCGACTTTACTGAAAGACCCAAAGAGTATAAATTCCTGCAGTCACGAAAGCAATAAGTCAACAACAACAACGTTGGAACGAAAATTTTAAAGTGTGCAAAAAAGTACGGAGAAGATGCTTGGGGTAAGTAACACTGAGAGGCAGCTCGCAAGGATGCGTGAATCCGCGAACATGTGCAGTTTAATGGCTATAATTTAAACTGTTAATAAACGAAAGTGGGCTTGGATTAAAACAAAAACAAAAAACTGTTTGCAAACAGCGATGACGACCGTTTCATAAAGATTAATGATGGAGTGGCGGCCGGGGAATGGATAGCAAGGACGTCGACCGAGGAGATGGATCGGTGAAACCAGCGTGGGTGCAGGTGCTGGATGGATTGTTCCATTCGCTTTGGGAGGCTTTCATCCAGCAGTGGATTGGCCACGGCTGATGATGATGATGATCTGCTAAACGCGAACGTGCCGGATGCCGAACGTGAACGTGATAGCCTCACAGTGCGGTGCCGTGGTGGCGAGATGTTAACTACCTCGCCTGGTATACAGAAGGTCGTAGGTTCAATCCTGACTCTAATGGCTGTATATTTGGAGTTTTCAGTGTTCTCCCCGTGGTCGCGTGGATTTTCCTCCTGGTCCTCTGGTTTTTTCCTCCACATTTTGAATCAACATGCGTTTAGAGTATTGCCCCCTATAAATGTCCACTTCGTTGGGCTATCATTTACGGACAGTTCGCTTTTAAAAAATGGCAATGTAGCTCAGTGGGCCTTACCTGGTAAAATAAAAGTAGTTTCGTTTAGCGCAATAGCTAGCACTCCCACGACCGGCCTGCCTACACGTCCCCAACTCGCGCCCGTGACCACGGCTCGAACCCTGACCCTGCCCCATCCCCCTACCCCTCCCTCGCCAGGCTGCGGAGTGACCCACGACGAGCCACAGGGTCAGATCCTGTCGCCGAGCTACCCGGCGCACTACGGCGACAACCTCGACTGCCACTACCTCATCAACCCCGGCAACGACTTCACCATCATCCTCTCTTTCCAGACTTTCCAGGTCGAAGGTACGGGGACTCCGCCTGCCCCTCCCACCTCCGTACCCCCCCCCCCCCCTCCCCCTCACTGAACCCTCCCTCCACCCCTATAAACTTTTATTATCATAATCACTATTATTCCATTTTAACGTCGTGTGTTTAATTATTCCAGTGAGCCGATTCAAGGCCTGTCAAAGTTTATTCGAAGTCACATCACCCAGATTGCACCCCGATGTCAGAAGCTAGGCATTGTTGAGTCTGGACAATGCTTGCGTCAGAGACTGCGATGCATGCCAGGTGGTTATAGGCTGCTATGGAGGGACTCGTTTGGCTGCAGAGGGCAACGCAGCATGCTGAAGTATGGAATGTAACCCAAATTACCCGCATGGCCTGGGGAGTCCCTCGTCCAGCAATAGGCCGGCAACAAGTCTGTAAACTAAACTGCATTTTTAATTGGCATGTTTGTGAGAAAAAAAACCCACATCCAAGGGGACAATCGTAAAACATGCACACAGATGAGTCAGCTGTGCACCCGCTCTCTACAGTACGTCCTTCTGAATGCCACTTTGAGTTTCAAGCCGCACAGGTTGGGAGCTTCACAACACTTTCATCACGATCTCCGCACGACTCAACCAGCCTTGCCTCCCAAGAGCTGGGCTAGCAGCAAAACTTGATTTCCGCTAGATCTGTCCGGATCAGCGATTGGCTAAAATATGTCCACGCCCAGTACACCACATCCAGTATAGGCCTCTATCCCTAGCTGCAGGGATTAGACGTGTTGTGCGATAATGCTCTGCTCAGTACCTCCCCAAATCCCCACCGTCCCGTCCGTCCATCTGTCCATCTGTATTTTCTTCTGTCCATCTGTCTGTCTGTCCGTTTGTCCATCCATCTATTCATCCATCTGTCCGCTCGTCTCGTCTGATTGTCCATCCATCGTCCCTCCGTCTCCATCCATCCAATCCGTCCGTCTGTCCGCCCGGTGCGTCCCCGCTCGTCCGGCCGTGCGGTGGCGCAGGTCACTCGACGTGCGCCTACGACTTCCTGAAGGTGTACGGCGGCACGTCGGAGAGCGGGCAGCTGCTCGCCACGCTGTGCGGCTCCACGATTCCTGGCGTGGTGTCGGCGCACGGTCCCATGTTCCTGCACTTCCACTCCGACCCCTTCGTCGAGGACAACGGCTTCCTCGCCGCCTACCAGGCCATACGTACGCGCGCACAGCCACGCACGCACCACTACAAAGTGTGGCTTTCCTTGGTTACAAAAATTATCTTAGTCTGCGTCTACACCCAGGTTAGTTCATTTCACCGCTTTGACCGTAGATTTATGCTGGGAAGCAGTCACGGTCATCGTAGCGATGGACGATTTTCGTCCACTCAGAATCATCGTTGATTTTCTTTTTTTATCCGCTCCGTCGACGAACATTTTGCTCGCTAATTTCACGAACCAAAAATTTATGCTGCAACCCCTTCCCCTCGTCTGCTCCATCCCTCTCTCTATCTCTCTCTGCCGGCGTTCCGGGGCGCCAGCTTGTGGAGGGTCATTCACGAACCCGTCGGGATTCATCAGCAGCCCGACGTTCGGGCAGGTCAACTACCACAACAACATGAACTGCTCGTACCACATCCAGGTGGAGGAGAATCGCATCGTTAACCTCAAGTGAGCTACACGTGGGCGGGGAGGGGGAGGAAACTCTCAGTGAGTAGCGAGACTTTTTAGAATGGAGATTTCCAAGTCAAGTAACACCTCGAGATACGGAGTGGATGCGTTCCTGGAGCTCCGCTCGTATATTGAAACGTTGTATGAGAACAGGTTTTACCCTTTCTGCCAATAAAACAGTTGTGTTAAGATGTTAACACGCCCAACAGAATCCTTTTTCAAGGAATCTTGTCTGCATTAACCACACGTACCTGTGGTGAACATGCAAACAAAAACATACTCTGAAAGTATGTGCATTGTCTTTGAAACTGATTGGTCCACACCAGAGACAGCTTTCTTTAGAGCCGAGTCTCAAACAGTGTTAGGCCAGAGGACGTCAAAAGGCAAACAGCACAGAGACAGTACTCTATCAGGGCATTTATAGCTCGGAGTGATCTGCTACAATATGGGACCTTTCTTGAAACGTTGTATGTTGTATAACTTATAACATTAGTGATATGAGGATGCATTCCCAGCCTTCGTAACATACCATTTCATCATATAAACACGTCATAACTTAGCATTCATATTGTAAACAACGATAAATGATATTTAAAATAATATCATATATTGAGTAGGATTAAAATTTTAAACTGACATAAATAACAAAAAAGTGAAGTAACGTGCTTTTTTCTGATTTATATAATACCGTTTATTCTTTATTTGTTCGTATAAGTGTACTTAATAATTATTTAACTGTTAATAATGGTAAACATAATGGTAAAAAATACAACGTTTGTTCGACCAAAACTTTGTTTATTGAATATACGCACATCGAGGTATGACGGTGTATGTGTATAACGAACTCAACAAATTCGTCAATGAATTGACCGAGCGTGTTTTGTTACTTGTAGAAGTGCACCACTGCCAAAGCTGCAGCAGCAGCAGCAGCATCAAATAATTTGTAATCCAAGTGTGGGACCAGGTCATGAGCTTTGTCCGTATCAAGCAGTCTAGCCCAGAAGACGACACGTGAGACATTTTACATTCCTATCATCAGGAATGCACCCGATTGTCAGAGCTCAGAAGCTCAGCAGGTATCAGCCTGGATAGTGCCTGCATTGGCGACCAACGTGATGCATGACCAGCATAATAGGCGGCGGATCTACGTGGGGGGCACGAATTGTGACAATCCATCGAGTCACAGGCGTTGGAGGGTGAACGTCTAACTTGGTATTGGCGATGGCTGCGCGATGTGTTTGCGTGCCATTGGAACATCATGCGGCACGACACCAACGAACGTCGGAGAGCTACACACGGCACTACCGCGACCGCCAACGATGGCGACGGCGGCGACCCGTAGCCACGTGACACCTCCGCTTTTGTCACCTCCAATTGCCGCGGTTGGCCACGCGCGATGAGAAAGAAGCTCAACGTCCATACGTCCAAAAATCGGTTGCTCATCATAATCGTTGCTCATCTCCGCAACACGTAGGTTCAACTACATGCACCTGGAGGCGCACTCGCAGTGCCACTACGACTACGTGGCCGTGTACGACGGCGCCGACACCTCCGCGCCGCTGCTCGGCACCTTCTGCGGCACCCAGGTTCCGCTGCAGCTGCACAGCTCCGCCCGGGACATGTTCCTGCTCTTCGTGACGGACGCCTCCGTCACCGCCGGCGGCTGGCAGGCGGCGTACCGCACCACGCTCGGTGGGCGCACGCACGCACGCGCGTTCACGCGCACGCAGGCGCTGCTCACGCGCACACACGCAGGCACGCGCGCGCACGCGCGCTCACACACACCTGTTTTAAAATCAATCTTCCATCGCTATTTGCCGTTGCGAACAGACAAATGTGTTGCCGCGCACGATCTTGCCTTCCCGCAAAAACACAATACGACATATTGAACACACAACTCAATGCACAACGCCACACCGTGCAACACCCGCATGCACACTCACGCGCACTACACACTGCAATATGCTTCACACCCCCGTCCCGCGATGCGCAGGTCCAGCGCAGGGCTGCGGAGGGATGCTCACGGGCGACACCGGAGAGCTCACCTCACCGGACATTAACGGCGACGGGCGCTATGAAAATGACCTGGACTGCCGCTGGACCGTGTCCGTGCAGCCGAACAATCTCATCACGCTCACCTTCAGCGCCTTCGAGCTCGAGTCGGCTATCCAGGACACCTGCCACTACGACTACGTCTCCGTACGTCACGACCCACGCACAAACACGCACGCGCGAGCGTGCAGAGGATCGGGGCGCGAGCACCGCTGGTAAACACGACAGAGGCAAAAGACGCTCAGTGTAGCCGTACGGACCGAGGAGAGTGCTGATAGCGAGCGCCTACCCAAGGGCGGGCTCAGCGCAAGAGATGGTCATGTGACCGGCAACTACCTGCTTGTCAAAAAACGCAAACGTTTCAAAGCAAGTCGGACGTGTGTACGGCCGGCTCCACAGCACTGTCACGTGGCGCGTGGAGTTGCATTATTCGCTACCATAGCATCCAGGTACCCATGGCACTGATCATGAGCTGTGCATGACCCTTTTATCTTTGGCCTTGGTCAACAAAAGTCTGGCCGCAATTGGTGGTGGAGATCAAAGCCTAACCAAGCATCAGGTTACCCATGCAACGCGGTGTTGTCGATGATTTATGATTCGAAATAGATTCGCCCCATCCATAGGATGGACATGGCTACCGGATTATTGCTCTCTGCATCAGGCGCTGTGAAGAAGGGAGAAGGGTAATCTCCCAAAGCCTCGGCCTATCTGTGTGCGTGTGTGCCAACTGAATGTTTCATAAGACAGAGTTAACGATGACGGTGGACGGGGAGGTGTTTGTGGCCTGTAGCAGAGAGTATGCACGTCGAAGAGGGACACACACCGGTGAACAAACCAACGACCACAAACACGGATCAACACATGCAGACGAGACAGGCGTGCGAGAGACACCCAGACCACTCCGTCCTCCCCCCCCACCACCCCCCACCAGGTGTTCGACGGAGAGAGCGCGCTGTCCCCCATGGTCGGCCGTTACTGCGGTGCAATCGTGCCGCTGCCCATCACCTCCTTCAGCAACTTCCTGCACATCCACTTCCACACCGACAGCTCGGTGCAGCGCGCCGGCTTCCACGCCACCTACCAGACGAGCGCCAGTGAGCCCCCGGCGGCATCGCGCACCCACACGCCCACCCACACGTGCGCACGCTTGCACACGCGCACATGCACGCGCACGCACGCACTCACAACAAACTCTCACGTACGCGATTACGCAGTCTCAATCTCGCCCGCACGAGGTATCCGCATCTGCCATGGCTTGTGCGGATGCGGTTTAGCTCATGGTCCACCCTAAATCGCATCAACTGCACAAATGTAACATTTAAAACTCTTCAGCAGTGTGCGACCGTGGTCATCCAGAACAGAACGTACAACGTAGAACGACGCGATGCCCGAGCCAAACATACGAAGGAGACATCACGGCGACGAGACCCTCCGCCGTTGTCTTGCTTGGCCACCTCGGTGTGACGTTGTAGTTATTGTTGCTCTGCGTCTACATTGGCCGCACGAAAGAAAGAGATCTCACCCGCAGTCTCTCCGCCCCTAACCAACCTCTTTCACCACCACCCCCCCTGCCACCGGCTCAAACTCTCAGGCGTGTGCGGCGGCGTGATCAACGCGACGGCGCAGGCGCAGACCGTGACCTCGCCCGGCTTCCCCGACGCGTACCCCACGGAGTCGCGGTGCCGCTGGACGCTGGACGCGCCGGCGCAGGAGAGCGTGCGCGTCACCGTGACGGCGTTCAGCCTGCCGGCGCACCAGACCTGCTCCAACGACTACCTCGAGATCCGCGACCAGCCCATGGTGAGAGCGAGCGAGCGTGCCGCCGCGCGGGAACGGCTTCGTGTCAGAATCAGAACCCTTATTTAGATTGGAGCAGGAGGAATCCGATAAGCTTTGAAGCTCCTTTAAATTTCGATTTAAAGCTTTCGTGACTGCAGGGATTCATCTTCATGGTTCTTTCGGTAAAGTCACGTAGAAGGGAAATAATAAAGTAATAAAATAAGTTATATATTATTTTATTATATTATAATATTATTTTATATTAAAATATTATTTTATTATTTTATTATTACATTTTATTATGTTTTATTTTTATTATTTTATTATTTCCCTTCTACGTGACTTTTCCGAAAGAACCAAGAATATGAAGCTCCTTTCCACAGATGTCCAGCGTGGGCGGCTCAGCAAGTGTAACCATGCCACGTGTCTACCACTCCCTCTATCCCGTGCCCCCCGTGCCCCGTGCAGGGAGACTATGGACAGGTCCGCCGTTACTGCGGCACCGACATGCGCATCCCTGAATTCTACTCCATCGGGCGCACGGTGCACCTCGACTTTAAAGTCGACACCTACGAGCCGGGCAATGGCTTCAGCCTCTCATTCCAGACCGCAGGTATTCTCACGCACACGTACGCGCGCTCACACACCCGATCGCTCCCTTATCGTAGAATCGTCATCAGTGGTACTCTGCACAGAGTCCATCAACGTTACCCGCTTTTAAATGGGCAAGTCTAAATCTGACCGAGGTAAAGATGGCAAAACATTTTTGCGAATCACACAACGTGTGTCTCTTTCCCCTTTCCCAGCAACCCTCACCCTGTACCACGTCGCCCATATCCCGTGCCCCATACTCCGTACCCCGTACCTGGTTCCTCCCACCCCATAGCGCATAAGGGGCCGTCTATAAATGACGTCACGCACCTAGGGGGGGGGGGGGGTCAGACATTTGTGATGATGTGTGACGAGAGGGGGGGGAGGGTTTGAGAAATGTGACGTCACATCAAAATGCGCAACTTTAAATAAATATAGACAACACGTTCTACTTAATTAAATATACTTTTTTTATCAATGTTTTCTCCTACAACATCAGAGTGCAGCGCCACATTAAACACGCACTACAATTACAATAGTTTAAAGCGATTTGGGGGGTGGGGGCAGAGTTTTGCGACGTCACATTTGAGGGGGGGGCTGACTTTTTGTGACGCCGTGTGACGAGGGAGGGGGGGGTCAAAAATCGTCCAAAATCGCGTGACGCCATTTATGGACGGCCCCTAACCCACACTCCGTACCCCGCACCCCTTTACCCCGCGCCTGACACCTCCCGCTCCGTGCCACGTGACCCTGCACGTGCCGCGCCCGCCAGGCTGCAGCCGCGAGTACAACGCGTCGTACGGCTACCTGGCGAGCCCCGGCTGGCCGGACGTCTACCCCCACAACATGGACTGCACGACGGTGCTGCGGGCGGCGGCGGGCAGCCTCATCTCGCTCTTCTTCAGCGCGTTCACGCTCGAGACGCACCCCAACTGCCAGTTCGACTACCTCGAGGTGACGGCGCCCCCCGATGCCGTTATTAACGATACGTGTTGATTATTATTATTTTGGGGGCAGGGGGGGCTAAAATTAAGGATCGGTATGTGAAGTGTTTTAATGTTTAAAAAAATGTTAATTGAACATGGTAATGCCGCTAGCTTTCATGTCTGTCTGTCCATCTGTCTGTAACTCTTGTGAAGATGATCCAAGTAGTAGGTTTTTACCCTTTTAACTGGTACAAAAACTGACACCTTTATACAAGGCATCATGTTTGCAATAACCACAACACAAGCAGTCAAAATGCAAACAAAAAGAAAACAACTCTGATAATGATATGCACTGTCCTTGAAGTTGATTGGTCTACACCCGAGACAGCTTTTCTTAGAGCCTAGTCTCCATTGGTGTTGGACCAAATGACGCCAAAAGGGTAAAAACCTACTACTACTATATTTTGCCACTGGTAAAGGAGGTCTCATAGTGTAAAAGATGATCCAATTTAAATGACATTTGAGTCTAAAGTTGCGTTGCTATTAACCGACTTAGTCCCCAATGGAAAACCACAGACGCATTCCTCAATGGAATGTCGGGCAAACTGATCAAAGGCACTTCCTAAAACCAAAAAAAGAACAGCGCTGAAAGGATTCACCTTGCCCGACATCACACGTCACGCGCTCACATCCGCTCACCACGACGTTGTTACTCATGACCTCTCATCTCGTCGGAAGCTAAAGTTATTCTAGCGAACAAAATAGTTTCCAGGGACAAACCCCACGTAGTCGCAACGCGATCGGTACAGAATCCATGCAAATCCATGATTTTTCTTCACCCCCATTATTATTGTTGTGACATTTTTAAACCGTCGTGCTACCGGCCGCCGTAGGTCCACAACGGCAGCGACGCGACGGCGCCCTCGCTGGCGAAGCTGTGCGGCGCGGGGCTGCCCGACCCCGTGTTCCCGCGCGCCGACGTGCTCTTCCTGCACTTCGTCAGCGACTTTTCGCTGGCGCTCAACGGCTACGAGATCACCTGGACGTCGTCGCCCGCAGGTGAACGTGTCACGTGGGCGAGGCCAGACGCGCGAGGATCGCTCGCTCTTAACGCGGACGATCTCATGATACACCTGCTCGGCGCTTGGAATGGGTGACCGCTATCGTGTAACAGGTGCCGTTACGCGATAAACGCGGTCAGCATACGTACGGTGCGGAAGATGTTCAACGTACGTACGTACGTGTGCTGTAGGTCTATTGCCGTGACAGCTCTTAGGTGCCACGGGATGAGATGGGGGGGGGGGGGGGAAACCCAACGCTGGACTCTCCTAGGCCTCAGCATGGCTCACCTGGATAAGTAAATAATACGAATAATTAATATTGTTAATCATTAATATTAATAATTATTGTATTACAGCAATGGGAGAGGTTCATAACGTAGATTTGGTCGGCTCGCTGGATTGAGTCTGTCTGTGGTATCTGCTAACATCTGGTTTCCTCTCACATGGGAGCCAAATGCTGATTGATTGAATTGGCCGAACGTCCCAATAACGTATTTATTATTTCCTAGGAGAGTAAAAACGGATGTATCGCTCCATTAATATTGATTCTCAAACTCATGATATAATCTTCTTGGTTCTTTCGGTAAAGTCACGTAGAAGGGAAATAATAAAATAATAAAAATAAAACATAATAAAGAACCAAGAAGATGAATCCCTGCAGTCACGAAAGCTTTAAATCAAAAAATCATGATATCATATTACACGCATAAAAAATATCTATTTTGATAACGGGTTCATGTCACCACTGTAGCCATTGTGAACACTACCATTCAATGCAACGTAAAACAATTGATTCTTGATTTGAATCGTAACCCTACTGCTATGCGACAATTCATCGTATCGCCACATGGGTGGTATCTTGCAACACCGCCATGACACACTTTATCACCACCACAACTCACCCACGCATGGCGCTGAAGCCCGCCACAGCGACCGACGCGCTGTACAGATTGTGCGGCTGCCACGCGGTTGAGGTCGCTGCTGCTCTTCCGTGCCTTAAACTCCACCCCCTCCAGCCGTACGTGCTGTCGACCTCCTGCCCCTCTTCCAGTCCCATACACCAAGGCCTTCCTCGTCCCCTCGTCTCCTATGGCAGACTGCCTCGTCTCTAAAAACGAGAGTATTTGCCTGCTATAAATTTCCACATGACGATAAGCCACTTTGTTGAGATGCCGTTTGTGATAGCCAGGTCGCTTCTGAAAAAGAGCTACAAAGCTCAGTGGGCCTTGCCTGGTAAAATAAAAATAGTTTATAGTTTCATAGTTTTAGAATATCACACGCACGCACACACGCACCACGCCTGCCTCACGCCACGCGCGCAGCGTCCTGCGATGCCGTGACTTTCGTACGCTCCGTAAAAGACGCCGTTTTTTTGTCGCGACAAACGGTTAAACCCGTCGCATGTGCGTACGTTGAACTTCTTTCGCACCGCACATAGCCGACCGTGCTAATCGGAGGTGCCCCGTTGACGCGCAGGCTGTGGGGGCATCCTGCACGGAGACCACGGCTCGTTCACGAGCCCCGACTTCCCGGGCACCTACCCCAACAACTCAACGTGCGAGTGGCTCCTGGAGGTGGCCGTGCACCGGCGCGCCACGCTCCGCTTCCCCGTGTTCCATGTCGACGACCCGGGCGACTGCGAGCGCAACTACGTGATGGTGCACGACGGGCCCAACATGAGCTCGCCTCCCGTGGGCACCTTCTGCGGTCAGGTGAGCTCTCGCTTCCCGCGGGTTCACGCCGACGAAACTGGCCGAGTGGTTCGACCAGATGGGTCGAACCACTCAGCCGAACCGCGGCAGTTAGCCAAGTCAAAGATGGTGAAGTCATCCAGCCAGTCAACTGAGTCAACCAGCCGGTCAACCGATTAGTTAATTGGACAGCCAGCTAGTCAACTGACTAACCAGCCAGATGGGATGGTCACTCAATAGCACGTTTGGCTACATACGGTGCAAAACAAGTACAACATCAATACAATCAACTAACCAGCGAACCAACTAGGCAACCAATGAGTCAGACAGCCAGACAGTCAACCAATGAACTAATTGGCCAGCCAGCTATTCAACCGACTCACCAGCCAGTTGCCCAACCAGTGAGTCAAACTAATGGCCACCTCGCCAACTGCCCAGTGCATCAGTTATCCAGTCAGACAGGTCAGCCAGCCATCCAGAGAAAAAAAAGTCAGTGAGTCAATCATCTAACCAAGAAGCCAATCCCACCTGCAAGTCGGCCAATCACTGTGACGCATCACAGAACCAGACAAACTGTCAATATACCAACCGGCTATCCGGAAACTAGTAAATGAATCAGCCAGCTAATTCATCAGCTGGTCAAATGCTCAATCGCTCACTCATTCATCCACGTATTTAGGCACTGTCTCGCTGACGTTTAGTTAAGCAGGTGGTAGCTGAAAGAAATAAAACAAATAATGTATATTTTTTATAGGGGATGTGAAAAAAACCAGTTGTTACATGACTGTTTTTTCTATAGTCTTTGCTCAGTTAATTAGACAAAAATACCCATCACAGGGATATAAATTGCTAAATTAGTATCAATCATTAATGGCCAATATTTTTGCATATAAAACTTACTAGCTCGGAAAAACTATTTTCGAATTAAAACGCCGTGCGGTGAAAAATGTGTACATTAATGCCAGCGCCGGCACGCAGCGTCTCATTGTTGGTTTCAAAAAAAAAAACGTACACGCATTCACACATTTCATCGCCTTGCTTTCCAAAGTCACTCTCAAAAGAGTCCTACAGAGAGAGAGAGAGGGAGAGAGATCTCGTGTCATCACAACAGCCCTCGTCTGCCCGTCTTTTCGTTTGGAGCTGTGTGAACGCGATCATCGCGCGCGTCTGCCACCGTGTTTTGACCGGTGCGTGCCGTCGTTGGCGTCCCCACAGAACGACAACATCGCGGACTTCACGTCGTCCGGCTACCAGCTCTTCGTCCGCTTCCAGGCGGAGGGCTCCTCCGTGCCGGCAGGGTTCCGGCTCACGTGGACCAGCTCCTGAGATGACAACGACGGCGATCACCACCCCTTGCGCCGTCCGTCACCACCACCATCATAACCACCGACCGCCACCATCATCATCACGATCATCAACCCACCCCGCCACCATCACCAACATCACCAGCACCACCATCATCACTACGATCTTCAACTAGACCACTGACGCCATTCTGATCACTACCATCATCATCGCAATCACCACTGCCCAGACCGACCTTACCACCTCTACTATACACACCGACACACACACGCACACGTTCGTGCGTGCCGATACGTGCAGCCACCTCCTCCCAAGGGCACGGCACGCCCAGCCGTGCCACCCTGCACGTGGCGCAAGCTTTAGGAGGGTGTAATACTTTCTGTAAATATTAAATCCGCAAGAGAATCGTGATTGTGTTGAATTTTAAAACAATTCCTCATCCCTACCTCCCCCCTCCTTTTTTTTTTGTACAAACTCTGTGGCCTGTGAGTCCACAATCTCTGTCTGCAAGCCCCCCGACGCTCGCACACACCGCTATCCCAGCGCGCAGTGCGGCAGCCGCTGAGCCGCTGAGCCGCTGAGCGCACGGACCACGCAGTTCGAATCCCTTCACCGGCCATCATGGATCACTCGACGATTTGCACGGTTGGCTACGTACGGCGCGAAAGAAGTTCAGCACGCGTGCACATGCATACAATTAATAAACATTAAACAGCTGTGCAATCTGCTGTCCTGAGCACGGATACGACTCTTTGATTGATTGATTGATTCGTGGCCTATATTGAAACAAGGTAAGAGTGAGTCAAGACCAGATGTTTCCCTTTCAAGGCAGGTCTGGGTGCAAACTAACAAAATAATGCATCTAATGGCACAGTAACATGCTGCTTGAATGCAAACAACTCTAAGTGAATATAAATTAATCAACCCGACTATATATATAAAATCGTTCATGTCTGTCTGTCTGTGTGTGTGTGTGTGGATTTCGGCCCATACGCACTTTCATTGGACGACGGTTGCCCCTGGCAACGGCTAGCCACGCCTTCGCCGCTTTCATTGGACCTGGCAACGGCTAGCGACGCCTTCGCCAAGGGCTGCAGTTTCATTGGACGGCGGTTGCCCCTGCCAACAGGCTAGCCACGCCTTCGCCACTTTCATAAGCTCCGTATTTAATTAAATAATAGCCATTACACAGTATTGTTGGAGCGCTGAGGGGGGGGGGGGGAAGGCACGCCACCCGTACCCTGCCTCTTCCAAGCCGACAATTTTAGGCGAGGCCGCAGGCTTTGCACGCTACTAGGCCTCAACACCCACCACGCCACTCTGAGGTAAATTCATCAAAGTTTTTCCTACTCTTCACTACACCCCCACCACAATGTGTGCTATTAATATTACTTTTAAACCCAACGCGCCAACAATCGATTACTTTAATGTTCACTGTACAAATACTCATTAAGCTGGGTGAGCGTACTGCCACTCTATTATGTACACTCTAGCCTGCTTATGAAGCTGAGTGCGTGTACTGGCAGTCTATAATGTGGACTCTTGCCTGGTTATTATAATCGATTCTTTATATGTTCTTTGTACAAACAGTCATTAAGCTGCTTGAGCGACCCCAGTTCGATTCCAACACGCCCACCACCGCTGACGATTATTTGAAACGGACCTGGCCCTCCCCTAGGTCCACTCAGCCTCAAACGCGTAACTGCTGTCGTGTGTGAACATCGTCACTGGGGAGACAAAGGCGGCCGGGCATCGTGGATCCAAGTCCCGGGCGAAGCCGGGTCTTGTGTATGTGTGTTTATGTGTATGTCTGTGTGTCTCTATGTATGTGTGTATGTATGTGTATGTATGTGTTTGTGTGTATGTGTGTGTGTATGTGTGGGGAGCGATAGTGTAGCGGTTAGCGCGCTGCGCTATGAACCCGGCGACACGAGTTCGATTCCCGCTCACGGCCAACACCAGTGACGATTATCTGAACCGGTCCCGGGCCTCCCCTAGGTCGACTCAGCCTCAAATGAGTACCTGGTGCGGTGTGTAAACATTGCCACTAGGGAGACAAAGGCGGTCGGGCGTGGTGCTGGCCACCCACCCCCTCGTGTGCCGTTCCGGCCTTCATAGGTGCTCGCTAACAGCACTTGCCCCAACAGTCTGTTCCAGGCTATACGGGGGATCTTTGTCTTTGTGTATGTATGTGGGTTTTTTTGTATGTCTTTATGTGTATGTCTGCGTGTCTCTATGTATGTGTGTATGTACGTGTGTGCATGTGTTTGTGTGTATGTATGTGTGTGTGTATGTATGTGTGTGTATGTGTTTCTGTGTATGTATGTGTGTGTATGTATGTGTGTTATGTGTCTGTCTGTGTGTCTGCATGTATGTGTGTGTGTATTGTGTATGTGTTTGTGTGCATGTATGTGTGTGTTTGTGTGTATGTGTATGTCTGTGTGTGTGTATGTGTGTGTATGTGTTTGTGTGTATGTGTGTGTATGTATGTGTTTGTATGTGTTTGTGTGTTTACGCTCGCATTACACAAATGTGTTGCAGGTCTAAGGCGTTCCTCGCACAGCATTGCCGCTTTATTATTGCAGTCGTTTACTGCCGTGCGCACCCTGAAAGTCGTGTGTGTCTGCAGCAAGCGCGTGTATGTGTTCCTATGGACGCGCGCGTGTGTGTTGTGTAGGGGGAACGGTAGTGTAGTGCTTAGCGTGCTGTCTGTGTCTGTGTGTGTGTGTCTGTGTGTGTGTCTGTGTGTGTGCGTGTGTGGTGTGTGGGGAGCGATAGTGTAGTGCTTAGCGTGCTGTCTGTGTGTCTGTGTGTGTGTGTGTCTGTCTGTGTCTGTCTGTGTGTGTCTGCGTGTGTCTGTGTGTGTGTCTGTGTGTGTGTCTGTGCGTGTGTGGTGTGTGAGGAGCGGTGGGTGTAGTGCTTAACGCTACGCTGCGCTACCAACCCGGCGAACCGAGTTCGATTCCCGCTCACGGCCACCACCGGTGACGATTATTTGAACCTCCCCTAGGTCCACTCAGCCTCAAACGAGCAACTGGTGTTGCGTATTAACATCGGCACTGGGGAGACAAAGGCGGCCGGGCGTGGTGGATCCAAGTCCCGGGCGAAGCCGGGTCATGTGTATGTGTGTATGTGTTTATGTGTATGTCTGTGTGTCTGTATGCATGTGTGTATGTATGTGTGTGTATGTATGTGTGTGTGTATGTATGTGGGTTTTTTTGTATGTGTTTATGTGTATGTCTGCGTGCCTGTATGTATGTGTGTATGTACGTCTGTGGATGTGTTTGTGTGTATGTATGTGTGTGTCTATGTATGTGTGTGTATGTGTTTCTGTGTTTGTATGTGTGTGTATGTATGTGTGTTATGTGTCTGTCTGTGTGTCTGCATGTATGTGTGTGTGTATTGTGTATGTGTTTGTGTGTGTTTGTGTGTTTACGCTCGCATTACACAAATGTGTAATGCGGGTCTAAGGCGTTCCTTACACAGCATTGCCGCTTTATTATTTCAGTCGTTTACTGCCGTACGCACCCTGAAAGTCGTGTGTGTCTGCAGCAAGCGCGTGTATGTGTACCTATGGACGCGCGCGTGTGTTGTGTAGGGGGAACGGTAGCGTAGTGCTTAGCGTGCTGCCTGTGTCTGTGTGTGTGTGTCTGTGTGTGTGTGTGTGTCTGTGTGTGTGTCTGTGTGTGTGTCTGTGTGTGTGCGTGTGTGGTGTGTGGGGAGCGGTAGTGTAGTGGTTAGCGTGCTGTCTGTGTGTCTGTGTGTCTCTGTCTGTGTGTGTCTGCGTGTGTCTGTGTGTGTGTCTGTGTGTGTGTCTGTGCGTGTGTGGTGTGTGAGGAGCGGTGGGTGTAGTGCTTAACGCTACGCTGCGCTACCAACCCGGCGAACCGAGTTCGATTCCCGCTCACGGCCACCACCGGTGACGATTATTTGAACCTCCCCTAGGTCGACTCTGCCTCAAACGAGTAACTGCTGTAGCGTATTAACATCGCCACTGGGGAGACAAAGGCGGCCGGCCGTGGTAGATACAAGTCCCGGGCGAAGCCGGGTAGTACAGCTAGTACTATACAAAACTCAATCTACATTTTAAGATGATGAATTCTGAAACGCAATTACATTCATACTTGTGACATTGTTCGCAACAGTTGACCAGCACTATGCCGGTGGGCCATCCCCAAAAACCCCACTTTCATTCCTCATTCAACGAAAAACTTTGCTTGCCACGTCTCTCGCTAGCCGAAGGGATAATGCGATTGGGCTCGCGCCACGTGGAGCCAGAGAGAAAGTCGCGTCGAGAGAGGAGGGAACGAGCGCGACCGTCGGAGTCGCGTCGAGAGAGGAGGGAACGAGCGCGATCATCGTAGTCGCGTTGACCCGCTCGCGCGAGCAGCTGCGACAGATGGCAGCGGCGGTCCCCGCACCCCAACTACGATCGCTACCGCCCCCCCCCCCTATCCCTCCACGCACAGAGATGAGCGGCGATGAGGCATGATTACAATTTGTAGGAAGACATCAGCGAGACCGGCTCTTTGCATCTCCTCTAACTGCCCATCACCCAGGCCAGAGGTGGCCTGCGCGACACACAAAGCAAAGAACCCCCGTATAGCCTTTAACAGACTGCTGGGGCAAGTGCTGTTACCGAGCACCTATGAAGGCCGGAACGGTACACGAGGGGGTGGGTGGCCAGTATCACGCCCGACCGCCTTTGTCTCCCTAGTGGCAATGTTTACACACCGCACCAGGTACTCATTTGAGGCTGAGTCGACCTAGGGGAGGCCCGGGACCGGTATAGATAATCGTCACTGGTGTTGGCCGTGAGCGGGAATCGAACTCGTGTCGCCGGGTTCATAGCGCAGGGCGCTAACCGCTGCACTATCACACACACACACAACAACACACACAACAACAACACACACAACAACAACAACAAATAGTGATTTAAAATTAGTTTACATTCCGACGCCTCCACCTTTGAGTACAGCTCGAGACGCGGCTGCAACTCACCGCTTGACTCATAAAAGCGTATTGTTTTTATGTGTCGTTAACCCACCGCCACCCGACACAGCCAATTGGTAGGGGATCGTCACATGAACAAAACCTGCCGATTAGTTACCACTTCAGCACTCGGTGGCGTTTGTATGATGCGGGCATAATTGCGGACTTTTCCTTCAACACATCAGCAGCAGCAGCTATTGCGAGTCTCGTATTGTGACTGATTGCGCGCAAAACAATCTTGACGCTGCGTGTCTGTGCGTGCGTGCCCACGACGCGCTGGCACCTTCCACTTGCTATTCTGTCACAGCGGGGCGCGTAAGAGACCGATGTTTTTTTTTTATCTCACGTCGGAGGTTAAACCGAAACGCCTCCGTTCCCTTAATTGTGCTCTTGTGTTTCACGCTGTGCATGCTCACTTAGGGTGGGAATGTCACACGCTTCAGAAGCGTGTGTGCCAAAGCGACACCCAAATTACACCATGCCACACCGATACGGCCAAAAGGATATGAAATTATAATCTCGTAAATGCTACTTTGACTGTGCACGTTGGTACGAAAATTGGTAATGTTATGCGCTAATAAAGGTAAATGCCCATTATGGTGGTTGCTGACTTCTCAAACGTTAATTTGAATATAAAATATAACAAAAAATATCACTCAAAGGAAAATTGGGTTGTGCTCATAACCGCCGTGCCGTCCTTCGCCAATAGTGGAAATTACATATTCCCGTGGACGGGTCCAGACTCT